GATATATTTCTGAAGAGTAACACCCCTCTTCCATCTTCCACACCAATGGAACGATTGTTTTCTTTCGCGACAATATTGGATGGATATTCTCTCAGGGATGAGCTTTTTGAAGATCGAGTTCTGCTTAAAGCGAATTGCTGTAAAGATTTCTTAAAATAAAATCTTGTCGTTGCAGATGATTTTTAGTATTTCTTTTGCCAAATTTGAAATACAAAAATAACAAAGTAATTCATTATTTGAAATTGCTATTAGTTCAAATGAATCGATAATAGTTTTATTTTCAACTAACAGTGTTGAAAATATAGTTCCGAAATAAATTATGTCGAATACTTATTTCTTATTTTCATTTGAAATGAAATTTTGCCCAGGTCTGATGATAGCTACATTCAGGTAAAAATTTTGCCGGTCACGTCCCTATTAGACAGAAGCTATTTTTTTCATCGGTAATAGTCTGCGCGCGGACACGAACATCGACAAACGGTTTCCCAGTTGCGTTTCCGTGAAATCGACGAGCTCAGGTATACGTGATTAATTCGCGTCTGTGATCTCTTTTAGTGCACTGTGTGTTGTACAGAAAATAAGACAAAGGTGTGACGGTAAGTTTCAAAGCAGCCGAGAGTGCCCAATGTGTCGCACAATTCAGTTCGAACCATTGGAAATAAGCCGCTCAATAGGATTAAAAGCGGCATGAACGAAGTGATACCGGCGCGTTTGTGGTCTGGAACGGATGTTACGTGTGAAAAATTACGTGAAATTACCTCGTGATCGTGAAACGATTATATTAGATTGTGGTCAGGGTGCCGAACGTCGGCCATTTTAGATTCGATTTATACTGAGGTCGGACCCAAACAAAATAGTCATATCCACTGAACATTTTAAAGAAAAATTCCACTTAAAAGTGGAAAGACATCGATGTCCGCGGACATTTTAAACGGTAAATTTTTAAACAGTACGGAGAAATGCCCTCTGTATTATACATCTATACGCATAATACATATTTTAGATATCGATGGTAATTAGGGTTAAAGTTCGCTTGATTTCCTCTGATTGTAAAAACACATACGTTTAGAACGATAATTTTTGTAAGAGTCTTCTGCTTAATAATTTAGAAGAATCGTGTCTCAAAATGAGTATACAATTTACAGTTAATAACGTGTTATTGTTGTTTAATATAATTTCGAATACGAGTGTATGAAACGCACGCCGCAACAGCTCTCTTAGTATGATTAACCCTCTACTGGCCAGTGTTACTTTGCAGTCATCTACCAGTTTCACCATTATCAAGCAAATGAGAATATTCTTTCCTCAAAATTCATCGATGTAACTTGAAATTTACAATATGGTTACTCGTTTGCAAATGTACTACATACTGCCAAGTGTGAAGTCATAAATCTATTTTTAAATAAACTCAAACCTTCAAAATTGATAATTTAAGTTCCACGTGTTCAACTGATCAGTAGTGAACATAATGAAATAGAAAAAATAATTAACTTTTCGAACAATAAAAACTAATATGGGTTACAGAGGGTTAATTTGTATTTTGTGAATAACAAGATATCACCTTCGCAGAGAACATCGATTTCAAATGTCATATATATTTTAATGTATATTGTAATCACCGATCCTCATTTTGATGCATCGTATTGCGTGTGTCGTTATGTAAATTGTACACACGCAGACAAAGTATGCAGACGGTTGGTAGCGATTGACAGATTTTAACTTCCGATGCCCTTACACACGAGAGAACCACAGTTGTCGGACCAAATTGCCCGGTGCGGCCGGTATTGACTTACAAATGCGTTTACTTTTTCTATAGAACAACACGAGGCATTAGTATAACAAAGGCGACACGGGGACTCGCCTCGACATTATATGTATATATATATATATATATATATATTTAATAAGGCAAAAAGATATAGATAATACAAGTTTCTAACAATTTTAATAAGTTTTCTTCTTTATTTTTTAACCTACAGACAATTATCTATCTTCCAATCGCGTGGCCGCCATTTTGGAGAACTTCACTCCCATCGAAACAACGATATAAATTTGAGCAATAGTCGACAAACTGACTTGAAAATATACATTTTAGTGATGTTCCTTTATTTGTCGATCTTTAGACGTAATCAGATGCAGTGATGAATAAATAATGCTTGATATGTAAAAATAAGCTGGTCGAATTTAACGGTCGCGTACCTTTCGACCTGGTAAACTTGCATTCGATATGTGTATCACGATCGATCGAGGCGACAAAGAAATACATACGACTTATTTTCGAACAACAAACGGACTTATTGTAACTACTTGTTCGTGAAGGATCGTACAATGTCACACTGCTGCCCACTTCGATGTGTACAAGTTGTGTTAGGCTAAACGCATCACACAGATCTTCTTGATGAATTTATGAATTCCGCTATCGTGTTATCGAGGGTTCGAAGTGAATCTCAATTTTCCAGTGTTAAGGGATCTTTGTAATCCTTTGCGGTTGGTTGTATCATCGTACCATAAATGGTAATGTGTTACCATATGCGCAACATACATTGTACAGTCTTTTTAGTGGATAAACTTTTTTTTTTTAATCTGTCTTGAGGAAGACTCGAGTCGAATTGAAAATCGCAAGGGGTAATCGTTTACAACAGAAGTCCCCATGGCTGTTTATTGCATTTGTCCATTCGAGAGGAAATCTCACCTGGACGCCATTATATAACGAATAACGAAAGCATAAGAGATTTATTTCTTTGAATCCTTGGTACAATAATGGCCACCCCTTTTGACAGACTATTCCGTTTGCTTTTTTAGGGGCTTTCAGGAGCTTCGTAATGCACGTAAAGAAAAGAGAATAGGGATAATAGATAAACATTGAATGTCCATCGAGATGGACTGTTTTAACACGAGACCGCGTTACAATGTGATGAACTCAAGTGTCAAAACTCACAGATTTATTATAATTTTAATACAAGTTGTAAAGTAATAATGTATACCAGTGCTATAATATTTATACGGTTATAAGTATCATAATAGGTATGATATTATTGTTGTATAAAGAATTATGCTAGTGTTTGTATTAAGATTATAATAAAAACACTTGCCGATCAATCGAGAAATCGAGTCGTGTCAGTCGACGAGAAGCTTCTCGATGAGACGGGGGGCGTCAATTATTATTAACAGAGGTATACGAATAATCGAAGTTTTTGAACCTTAGAAATGATCTTTTTTGGAATGGAGCTAACTTTTTTCCTTGTATGGTCGAAGTGAAGTTCAACGAAAGAATCAGGAAAATATTCTTCATTACGGAACAACATTGGAAAATTAATCTTTTTCTAGACTCTACCAAAAATCTTTCCACGTACTGCCTTATTGTTTCAATTAAAGCATTCGTTGACGTTACTCTGAGTTCTCGCAAGGAGAGATTGAAACAAGGATACGATCCATACAAGTAAATGTAATTGTAGTTGTCTAAATAGTCAACTTCTGTGCACATTGTATATTTAAGTTTTAGTTTGCATTGAACATGTAACAAACGATATAAAATGTGTGTAGTAATGATATTTGAAATATGGAAAAAAAAAACAAGATTCTTTGCGAGCAAGAAACACATTCAATTTGAAAATCTCGATTATTCATACGGCTCTGTTCAATTGTCGTTCCACCTTTCGATGTGGATTTAAATGCGATGATACTTTCAGTGGAGTGCACAAAGGGACACGTTTTGTACCAAACGTGTAGGTACACGGAGACGCATTTGTTTCTCGGGGATAACGTTATTTAAGGGCCTCTGTACATTAATATTATTACTATTAACCGCTACCCGTATATGTAAGGAACCACGAGAGAAAGGGAGAAGAATAAGGGAAATCTTTAGCAGATTTACCAATCACGAATTTCCAGAAAGCAGATGAACATGCAATATTATTCGTAAGGAAATATTCTTCATAAGGTATATATATATATATATTAAAGAATTAAAGAATCACATATATATTATATACTGATGTCTAATTATAAAATATTGAACAAGTGTTATCAAATAAAATGTTGTAATCTGTGTTGACAATCGCCGACATTCTGAGTTCTGTGAATAACCATCGAACAGGTGTTATAACATACCTCGAGGATAATTTATGGATGGACACGCAACGATTAACCAATTCTTAATTAATTCTTTGGAATGTAAGCCGCACGCGAGGGTCCACTAGTTCGATGAATATCGAATGTGCTGTTTAACGATACTTATTGTACAATCTGACGGAAACTGAGTGTCGTGTAACTTTCCGTGAATTTCAATTTGTACACACGTTATGCCGGTTAATCACTAGACACGTTAATATTGGTGAAAACAAAATTGGCATGCATTATGTATACGTTGTTGCTACAATTAAGTCTGGATAAATGAGTACAATCGATGTTCACGTTTATCGAAGACACTGTCCGATGAGTTTCTTTACGTTCTTCGTCGAACGATATTTAAAATTAGTCAAATGTTGAGTCATTCTTTCTGTACATAATAGGCGTAGTATGAACTGGAATATAAATAAATACGACGGATTACACAAAAAATTGACTGCAAAACCCTTTTTTTTTATTAATATTATCAGATAATTACTCTTTCGAACATGAATAAAGTCCACATTCACCAATTATATAATCGCAGGATTATAAACAATACAAAATTGGTCATGGAATTTATATTCTGTTCTTGTTCTAAACCTACTACATAGTCTGTATAGGTGTATTGCATGATATTAATTCTTTTTTTGTATATAACGTTCTATTTTATACTGATTTTCTTATTATTAACCTCGCAATTATTTACAAAATTATAATATACAGGCACTATAAATAGAAGATATAATTTTGATTAATACGGAAATTACAACAGCTTCAGTTTAAAAGTTTATATTAATTTATTACATATTTTTACAATTCACATGGTGAAAGTTATGTATACATAATATAAGGAATGTCATATTATATTACAGTGGTTCTACATCCCTTGAGTTAATTAAATACTGTTTAAACTAAATAGTGTAATCTGTATAAATAGTATACTGTAAACTGTAATAGTACTCACTGCTGAAAAATTAGGAAAAGATATATTTTGACGAACGTGCTATTGAGCGCGAACATTACCCACATAGCATTTAAAAGAGCACCGAAAATAGAACCAATTTTATATCGTATTTAGGACAATCGCTAACAAAAACTATCAATGTTTCACTTTATTTAATTCTTCGGTGGTAAATCGTAACACTGTCGAAATAGCATTTAGCATATGACGTTTGCTGGAAGCATCATTTGTGGTCAGGTAGTTTATAAAAACGTTCTTTAAATACTCAAGATTAGCGCCTTCTCTGGATTTGCAAGCTTCGAGTCTAAAAAACAGTAAATAAATGTTAACACATATTATTTGCTGTATTTTCGATGATATAATACTGTGATTAATTTCTTAATACCTGTACAAATTAGAAATTTACCTTCCAATCTGAGCCTGCAAAACTTTTGTGTCCTCCTTTTGTTTCTCTTTTACATGGACAATTTCTCTTTGCTTGTCCCGCAATGTAGCTTCCAATTCTAAAATTTTCCTCCTGGAAGCCGATACCTGCACCTCTTTCCTTGCTAATTCCTGACTGTAATGTAATATTGGAGGACTGTCACATGTTAATAGTCCTGTTATTAGGTCAGACATTGGTTCTCCTTTATGTTCACGTTTCGTTACGTCTGTTCTACTTTCTACAATAGGATTTTCTTTCTTTGGCAATAATGCATGAAAAGATGTTTTCAAAGTTAAAATTTCTTTGTCCTTCTCTTCAATTAGAGCCATTGATCGTTCTCGTTGTCGCAATATCTGTTGCTCTAGCGTCGATATTTTGCTACGAAATTCGTTGTCTTTTTGAAGCAACAGGTGTTCCAGTCTCACGCGTTCCTCTTGAAATGACTACAGAAACGATCACGTTTTTTTACATTATTATTCTCAATCGCGTATATAATTAAATTCATTCCACGTGAACAGTAATAATAACTTGAGGGAAACTATTAGGAAAGAAGAAAAAAACTTGCCTTGTGTTGATGATCCAATTTTAGTTGTAGTTCCGTTTCTTTATTCATAACTTCGTTACTTAATATACGCATTCTTTCCTCTAAATTACTGTTGTGTGCTTTTAAAAGATGCAGTTGCGTTTTATTGTTCTTATCGTGCACTGTCATGTTTTGACTCTGAATGCTATGAGAGATATTTGAAGTACTGTATTTAGATATATGCTGTTTATAATCTTCAAACTCTTGTACCAAAATGTCGTATTTTTCCTTATAATCGACAATGTGTTGCTTGTCGTACAAACCTAGGCTGTTTAGCAATGCTAAACAAAAAATACATCATTAATCTCATGCGTGTTAACCCTAGAACGCCCAAGAGGAGGTGCTTCTCGAACCCACAAGTCGATTAACGTAAAATTGTAACTATTTCTCGTCTGCAAAAAATTCTCAAAAAATTATTTATTGTCGTATACATGTTTAAGTTTGATATTCAAAAGTCCTCGTTACTATATGTGAAAAACACTGTGCATAAGAAAAAGAAAACGGACTACGCGTCGCGACACTGGCGATCGCGCGTCGATGCCATCACGCCTTTATTAGGTCTTATTACACGATATATTACGTCTTTCTTGTCTCCAAAGAACAACAAACGATCACAGAACGAAAAATCGAACGGAAAAATTAGAAGAATTAGATTCAGACGACTTGCATGTTAGTATTTTACGCTATTTTACAAATACATATAAATAAAAAATAATTTTAAGGAAAAACATGTGCTATTTTGTTTACGATGTATAATATACTCGAATGTTACAAAATTTTCATCATAAAATAATGTGTTTAGGTGAAATATGTAAAAAAATGTGTGGGTTCGAGGAGACTCCCCCCTTCCCTAGGGCGTTCACGTGACAGCTCAAGACTCGGGCATTCTAGGATTAAGCCTTTTAATGTACCAATTTATACTTTCAGTTTCTGAATTCAAAGTTGACTTACATTTGACATGAGCTGATTCACTCTTTTTATTATCTAAATCTAGCAATTTGGTATAAAGATTTTTTATTTTAGAAATAATCTCTTCGGGTTCACTGTTCACAGTAAGATAATCGCTGCGTTCGGAGTCCTGTAAATCGCTTAACTGGTCTTTCAGCTTCTGAATAGCCTGCTGATCTTGTTGTCTGAGTCTGTCGTATCCTCCAACAATTTCAGATAGTTCAGCCAGTCTTGATTCTAGGCCTGCTACTCTAGTCTCGTGTGTCAGTGCCAACACTCTGGCCCGCTGTTCCGCGGAGGCAGCACGTTTTTGTTCCTAAAGAACCGACTAATAATTTTAATTTAAATTCTAGATAAATCACTCGTACAATCTATAATTTTTCAGAATTACTTCGTGTATCGCATTCAGATGTTGTTTCTTCATAAGAGCCATTTCGGATTGGAGCGACAGTAAAATCGGAGGTGTCTCTTTAGCTGCTTCTTCTGCTTGTTTTAGCTTATTTCTAGTTATTTCCAACTCAGCCTCGAGTATTTTACATTGAGTTTTATTTGCAAACTGACTTTTCAGTTGCGCCTCCAACTGTTCTTTATTTCGACGTTCATCGTATAACAGTTTCTGGAATTCTCTAGAAAAAAAAATAAAAAAACAAAAAGGAAATAATAAGTGGTGATCAAATTTTATCTTTTTGTACATTTAGTTTTTTTTACATATGCATCACATACTTTAATATTTTAGCATGATCAGCTTGCTCTTTCTCCCTTTCATGACGTTCCATAATTAATTTACATTTTACCTGTTCGACTTCAGAATAATTTGAAGTCTGCACTTTTTTCAGTTTTTCTTTCAGTTCTTTGATTACTTTCTCACACTGCGAAAATTTCGTATTAAATAAATATACATCAGATAATGAAAAACACCACAAACTTACTTCATCCCGTTCACTTCGCAGTTGTTTTTTATCTATTTGAAAATTTGCTTCCATTTTAGATTTCTCTGCTGACAAAGTAGCTAGAGAATTCATCAATGTATCTAGCTGATTCTTTAATTGATCTACCGTTTCGGTCTCCACGGTATCTGTTTGGATTTCTCGCGACTGAAAAAAGTATTTAACATTCAAAATGTACTATACAGTATTAATATTTCATAACGAAATATTTTTTTACCTGTAAATTAGACGGTTCATTGTCTGTGGTACACGTAGTTTTGGATTTATGCTGTTCCTGATTTTCGGTTTTTTCATCTTGCGAAGAGACGTCTGATTTATCTAGATATAATTCAATATTAAAAAACTAGTTTAATTTAGATCGTTTAACAGACCATTACTACTTAGTTATGTATTAAAAATTTCTTATCGTTGTTAAACTGTTACACACATACGACATACCTTCGGAATCTTCATTCTCTATATCTTTCCCCTCTGTTTCCTTTTGCTCGTTATTAGTGTTTTCCATTGTATTCCAATAAAATATAGATTAAAAAAGCCCTAAGAAAAAAGGATCTAAACTGTTCGAAGCACGGGGCACTTGAAATTAATGAATTTTAATAGTTCCCGAGGCAAATAGTAACTCCAATTTAAAATCGAAGTATTTGTTCGTACCCCTACATATTCTTCTGAACAAAAGAATCAGAAATGTAAAAAAAAATCAACGGTCTCAGCAAACTGTTTTTTCGCAAATAAAGTTTTGACCAACTACATCCAATAAATAGATTCTCATAGTTTTCTAAAAATACATGGTTCAACTTTTCCTTGTATTGTAAAATCTATTAAAGATAAATATTTCTTGCTGCTTATTTTGACCAATACAGTATTTGAACCATTGATTTTGTAACACCCTCTGTAGTACTGTATGTGTACAGGCTGTCTATCGCAAGTAGACACGATGTTTTAAACACAATAAAATAAGAAAAGAAATTTTCGTACAAAATTATTTCAAATGAACAGCAAATAATTGTAAAATAAAGCTCAACTTTTTTTCATTGTCAAGTAGTCACCTTGAATTTTCTTGAAGGGGACGTGATTCCTTCACAATTTTTTCACATTTGTTCTGTAGTAATTTTATGTGCGTTTAAAGTAGATGCAGTTTTGTACGAAACAATTGTTGCCATTTTCTCGTAGATGCTTAAAACATCGAGAATATTGTACGATGAACACCCTGTGTGTGTACTTACGTAAACCGTACACATACAAGGAACAGCGCGTGCACATGGGAATGTAAGACAAAGCGGAGAAAGTGGTTTACTCCCACAGTCTAAACCTAAACGGTCAAAACTGTACTGATTCTTCAGAAAACGAGATTCACCTTAAATTGTGATTATTGTTTTATTTACAGTAGAATGTGTATAGGCAAAAGAAAATATTATTTTAAAATTTCCGATTTCTATATCGATACTAATTTTATACTACATTTTGTCATATAGAATGCGATTTTAATATCTTTTTGTAATTTCCGTCAGTTAATTTTTAAAAAAATTGTATATAGAATTTACTTCAATAATATCCCGGGTTTCACTTACGTCAGTATACTCCGACTCTTTGCTTAGACGTGTTTCCCACAGAAATCCTTGAAATATTGAGAATTTGTTGTCCTTTTTCGATTGACAAAACGTTCTTCTAAGAACAAACGCATTTCTCTATGACAAATAATGTTTTCTATATCAGCACGAAAATGTAGGTTCCATATGGTACTCTTCACACCTCTATTTCTAACGGCAAAATGCTTGCGTTCCATCAACTGATTAAATGTTACATTTAAAAGTTGGCGCTGCGATGACGCAATTCGTATGACTACAGTTGCTTATGTGATGTACATAAGAACACGAAATAATGAATAAACATAAATAAAACATAACAAAAATTATTTCAAGTGTAAACGTATTTTTTTTGTTCAATGAGTATGGTTGTGTAGTTCTGTAAAATCAAGAACTACAAGAAATAATCTGGTCATCTCGTATTATGCAAGAAAAAGATTATAATAATAATATAATAAGAAAATTTATTTCATAAAATGTTAAACAATATAAAAGAAAGAATATTAAGAATTCATGACTTCATGATCTGTTACATAATTCACTATCATGTGCTTGAAATTTCATTAGAATTCATTGAACTTCATTTAACTTATTTGATTCTTTAGATTTTATTGGGGATTCTATTTCTATTGTTACAGGTCCACTGTTTTGTATATTAACTTCCATCATTGCTCCAAATTTACCATCTGTAGAAAGTAGTTAAAAGAAAACACGTATGTTACTTCCAAAAAGAAGTAGTTGACAATATCGATCAATCATGCTCCAATATAATAATACATCGTCCAATTTAATATTGTTATAAGTATTATTTGCTTATATTTGCTAAGTATTACCTTTAATTAAATCTGGTTTATAACTTTTACCAAGTTCAGCAAGAAATTTGTTGTAAAATGGTTCTGACTCTTGTGCAGGCATAGCCCTGTGGAAATCTAATCTGTTTCCCTTTAGAGTGTAGTATAATGTAAACTGACTGATACACAATATTTCATAATGTTTATCCATAACACTGGCACCCCATTTTTTATCATTACTGCCATCAAAGATTTTAGTATTCAATACTTTTCTTACTCTAAGAAAAATAACAATTTGTTCCATATTTTATTGAATGAGACTACCTCTTACAGAATTTTACAAATATTATACAGAATAATAATATTATATATTACATATATTTTATGTCCTCCACTGTGTCATCTCTTTTTATACCAATTAAGATGCAGAGACCATTTCCAATGCTACTAATAATTTCACCATCAACTGAAAAATTAAGCTACAATTGTAACAAAACTATTTGAGATATACAATCATAGTAGCATGTAAGGATATGTGTAGTAATGGGATTCAAGATAACTCAAAAAAATATTTCCTTATTGAAAAGCTGAAGCTCAAGTGACATGGAAATGTGTTACAAGAGAACACTTTTAAACCATCAAAAATTTTTAAATTCATTTGAACCTATACACAATCTCAAACTACTTTAAAATTTGGTATTTTTAATTTATTCAAAACATTTGCAAAATATCTTGAAGTCCCATCACTTTTCTAATTGGCAAATATAAGCAGTTGTCAATAAAATATTTTCTGACACAAATCTATGTTTTATAGACAATGAATTGCACTATATCTAAAAAAATTTTAAATATATAGGTTTTTGTTGTTTAAGAGTATTACTTTGGGTATTTTAAGAATTAGAGAGGGACAAATATGTATTGTCGCTATAATTCGCTTGATACCATATATTGTAACATAATTTTTTATTTTTCTAACGCAGTGACATTTAATTTCCTTCCCGACCTTTACTTATTTTTTAATGGATGAATAATGTGCTTGTTACAATAAAACATACATAACCTAACCATTACCTGACACGCTAGCTTTTGTCACTCGTTGTATTACCGCTTTCATATTGAATATAACGTCGTCTCTTATATCGTCGAAGCGATCGTAATTGTCAACGTGTCGGCACGAATTAATCTTTCGCGTGTGAATACTCTTTTTTTTTTTTTTTAAGAAAATACGCTACTACGACCACTAGTAATATTCAACGAGTGAACCAATAGGAGAATCGGTACACTCGGAAAGCTTGTTTCCGCGTATAGACTTCCTGTAGTGCAGTTTGACTTTTCAAAGATTGTTTACAAGCAAATTGCAGTCTGCATAATCGTTCGAAACGTTTAATAATCTCGACATTGTTTACAGCGCACCTATTGAGATTAATAAAAGATGCGTTTTTCAAGACTTTGTGAACTATTGCAGAACTTGAGATTGTAGTTCAAACTGATTCTCTGTGACCCACTTGTTGCGTTTAGGTTATGGTGTTATAAACAAAAATATGTTTGGCATAAATGTTTGGTTTTCATGATAAGTTCTTGCATGCCAGACGGTAGGCATGGAGGGCCCAGGTCTGAGCTTGTTTCAAGGCTCAGAAAGTATTCGACTAAATACAAGTACCCAAGGCTTAGAGGAGGATGAAGAACAAGAAGATATCAAACGACGTAACAAGGAGGTCTATCTTATATTGTGTTTATTTCTGTTAGATTTGAATATAAAGTAATATCTACTGTCTTCTGTTTTCTTCAGTGGATTTTACATGGTCAATAATATTATCAGTATCAATAAGCATTATTTTTAGTGTATTACTTAATATTGACAATAATATTGATTGTGTACAAGCAGTAACAATGGATTGACATTGAATACCAATGTTGGTCTGAATGTTTTAATCCTCTAGCATCAATATTGCAAAATTGCACTTTACTATAATTAAATAAAGTAACACTATTTAAAGTAGTTCAAACAATTTGATTTTTATTTATTTATTATAGTTCTTTGTGGTTTTAGTATAGTACCGAATGATCAGTAAAATGGTATATATATATAACTCAATATTGAAAAAAATAGACTTCAGTTTATCTGACTCTGAGATATACAGATATATGTTGGTGTATCCATACTTGTCATTTGAATTTCTTAACATTTTTGAGTGCTTAATAATAATTCTCAGTTAATAATAATTTTCGTTTTTATTCTGTAATTTAATGACACAAAAATTTAATTTCATGACCAAAGTATCTTTCATATTCTTGTAATACTTTAAACTTGCACCATTTGACTAACTATAATTAAATGTTGGATTATGTAGAATGAAACAAGTTATGTAAAACAACATTATGCGAACCAGATATTTAGAAGAAATTCGTTTAGATAAGTAGAATCCTATGTAATGACAATAGTAACAACAGTATAAGCTTGCAAAAATAATGATGCATTACTGTTGTTATTATTAAATCAATATTACTGATCTATATTGCTGATCATGTAAAGTTTGCTGTAGAAAATTCAATTTTAAGTGATACAAGTATGGTTCCTTCGATTGTAACGTAAGTCTTAATGTTTCAGATCAAAGATCTTCTGACTACTGCATTTGATGACTTAGAGGACGAAGATGACACTAGTTCTATCAATAGTAGTCATTGTCAAGATAGCACTAAAGAAACAGAGAATTCTAACATAGGTATGAATTTCTGTGCCCAAGGAATCGTATCGCCGAACGGTCAAACGGTGTCGCAGTTGCAGAAAGAATTTGGACTATATGATCGTATAGAAAATTCAAATAACTATGAGAACGCTATGACAAATCATAGATCAGAATTAGAAATTGGTTCTTCGATCTCCGATGTACAAAGAGATTTTAATATGTATGGTCAGACAGATACACCATATTCTAAAAGTATCAGGGGTAATGACACGCACAGCATGACTGCTGAAACTCCTTACGAGTTAGCGAGACCGCTGAATTCTGTATTTCCTAGAGATTTAAGACCTCAAGTTAATGAAGACTACACATTTAATGAAAATTACCCGTATAATTTTCAAACGCCATCTAATCATTATGATGCTCAATCTAAAAGTTATTCGAATAATGGTTATATCGATGGTTATGAAAACAATGTACAAAGTAAACAAATTCACGAGTTCGGTGGTGGAGATAACGTTACTTCGGATCATGTGAACCATTGTTACAAAACCAGTCCGAATGGTAGGTCGCAAGATGATGATGTAGCTTATAAAGCAGCAGAATATGAAAGCAAGGAACAATTAGAAGTTTTGTATACAGTTCGAATGAGAGAAATTAAAAGATTAACGGAAGAACTACAACAATTGCAATTGGAAAAAGAAGAGGAGAAAAATCAACTTGGTAGAAAGATTACTCTTCTACAAGCAGAAATTGAAAGATCATGTATATCTAGAAATCAAACACAACATGCGCTGGGTAAGACTTAATGAAATGTTGATTGATAGTAGAACAGATAAATAGTTTGAAAAGAATTTGAAAAATGAATATATTCTTGCAGTTGACGCAAAAGCTGAAATTGCTGATCTTCACAATCAAATAACGTCGTTAAGAGAAAAGAACGCAGTTCTAGAGAAAACTAATCAAAATGTAAGTTCTTTTACAGTTTACAGTTTACCAATACAGTTATAATAATATACTTAATTTCGATTATAAATTTTAGATGACACAGGAATTAAATGTTGCAAGAGATTCTGTAATAGAATTGCAACAGAAAATAGCTGTATTAGAAAGAGTACAAGCCTTACAAACAAATGATAAAACCCATGAGAAATTTTTAAAGCAAGCGCAAGAAAAACATGCGGTTGAAATGAAGAATATGCAAACACAAATAGATGTTCTTACAGACAAGCTTAATGCAAAGGTATACATTTTATACTAAACTTTTCGTATACGTATAATATTTACTTTAATAGCATAACATTGTATCAGAAGAATAGTATTTCTGGAATTATGGTTTTAAATATATGTAATAACAGTATTTCTCATAGCTGCTCAATATGGATTCCAACACTCATTGCATATGGGCAAGTTTTTGATTTTGTCTTCTCCAAAAACTATATTCTGATTACGTCTTCGCGATGATAATATCAAATGTGAATAAAATATCATATGAATCGATTGTTTGAGATTCTCAAAGTATTGCATGGTGCTATATTAGATATTAGACTTTATGGATTTCAAAAGAATATTTTTCCTGCACTCTGATGTAATCTTTGCAAAATTAAAACTAAACCATGAATAATATTGATCGTTTTTCTGTATTAACAGGAAACGTCGTACGTTGCATTGGAAAACAAATTATCGGACGTCCGAAGAGCACACGAGACGCTTATGGTGGAGAAGGGGGACACCATGAATCGTTTAGCACACGCGTTAGAAGAAAGCCAAACGCAGTGCCGCAACCTCATGGCTACAAACAATGCTCAACAATTCATGCAACTTCAAGCACAGAATAAACTCCTGACTCAAGAAAAAGAAGACATGCAAAAAGTAGTTCACGATTTACAGGTATTCTAACATTCGAATTTATGATTAACGAAAACATTTTCAAAGGACAATGTGTTCGTTATGCATTAAAAAGCAAATGAATATAAATAAAACATATATTTGCAGAATAAATTAGAAGTAGCAAAAAGTGATGTATTACAATACGATTCACTCTTAACGACAACATTGGAGGAAGAATCGGACTCCATTAGGCAATTGAAATTAGGCGACCATCATAATAAATCGAAATCAAAACCGTGTGACGATATTGCAAACAAGTTAAGGGGAGAATTGCAAAGGTAATTAAATATACAATTCAATGATTGTTTATACTTTAAATTGTCATGCATATTTCACATTTAAAATTATATTACGAATTGAATTAATAATTGTTAGGTGTTTGGCTGGACATGCAGTTAAAAGGAAGGAAATCACTCGATTAGAGAATACTTTGTCACAAAAAGAAAAAGAACTTGACAAAGCGTTGACGTTATCTGACACGTGTCGTCAAGAAGCAGCTCGATACGCTAAACGTGTTAGCGAATTGGAGCAAGAACTTAAATCTGTACTTACAGATCAGGCGATAAAAGCGAATGCTCAAATACAAAAATTATCAAATCATCTGTGTGATGTAAAAAAGCAGTACGAGTCTTTGCGGGAAGAAAAACTCGGATTAGAACAGAAATTAGAGGAAACGTTAGCAATTAACCACGAGACACTTAAACAGTTGCACCAAGAGAGTACGAATAAGCAGGAGAAAGAAGCCATTGACGAGTACAATAAAGAGTATCTAGAAATACATGCTAAAGCTGTAGAAAGAGTTAGGCAAGAAGCACACATTGAAGTAGTGCAATTATCGTGAGTATGGGACATAGTTTAGTTATATTAAACGTTAATAAGTATACAATTGTGGTGTTTGTTAAAAAAATTGATTAAACAAATTCTAATAAAATTCCGGTTTATAGTGTGCAATTAGAACAAACGCAAAAGGAGTTGGATCGCGTTAAGGAATTGTATATAGATGTCTGTAGTACAAAGGAACAGTTAATAAGTGAACACAAGTCTGAAATCAAAATGTTAAAAGAGAAATATGCTAGCCTCGAGGAGCGTGAAAAGACCATCGAAAAATATGACTATGACTTGCAGGCACAAGTAAAAATAACGGAAAAATTAACACAGGAATGCGACACGTATAGGAGTAAGGTAATTGAATTAGAAAAAGAGTTAAATTGTGAAAAGAAGAAAAAGGAAGAATATACAAAAAAAATTCATCAAGAAATTGAAAGAGGTAACTGTTCTATTAAAGAAACACAATTCTTCATTTTATCTAAGTTCGTAACAGAACTTTAACAAATGGAAATATGATACATTAAATTTGGCTAAAAATTTACTCTTTGCAGCTAAACAGGAAGCATTAAACGAATTACGGAATGCTCATCCTAATCAGGAAATAAGCGTACTCTTGCCAGATCATTGCTCCGAGCATTTAGAGAAAATTAATCAGGTATGCATGTTTTTAACAAAAAATGATATTAGATGTATAATTACATAGCGTACGAAAATGATTGTCATTTTAGTTAGAGGAAGATTGCAAGCGCCTAGAAGAAAAACTACACGCGGCAGTTGACGAACACAGACAGATGTCGGAATATCAATCGGAATTAGATGACGCTAGGTTGAAAATCGCACAGATAGAAATTTCTCATGAATCATGGAAAAGAAAATACGAGAATGCGCTTAGCGAAAGGAATGATCTAATTGCTAAAATCTCCAAATTAGATTTGGAATTATCGAATATCAAGAGAAGTTCAAAAATGGAAGATTCCGATGATGTAAAATTAAAAGTGGCTCGCTATCAAATGGAGAACGAAAGCTTAAAAGGCAAATGCGAAACTCTGTTCAGTGAAAAAAATGTTTATAAGGAAAAGATTTCACAGTTAGAGGCAGAATTATCGGAAACAAAGAAAATAATTGGAAGCTTCGAAAATCGGTTCAAAAAGACTAGCGAAGTGTCCTTGAATTCCAAATGCGAATTAGAAAAAGAACTTTCTCATTACAAAGATCTGGTAACACAGTTAAGTAGTAAAATCAATCTATTAAAAGCGGGAAGAAAGAGTGACGTGGTAATGGAGCAAAAAATCAAACAACTGGAAAAAGATTTGCAAGACAAAGACGAGTCATTGAATAAATTAAGAGATATTGAGAAAATAAAAGAAGAGAGGGATCAACTTGTTCTAAAATTGAAAAATCAAGCCAAACAGTTTGAACAGTATGTTCAGAATCAAAAGCAAGTATCCGCTGAATTAAACTTATCACCGCGTAGTTCCAGCGACGGTACAGATTTTCAAAAGATAAAGGAGATTATGATAAAAGAGGTCCGCGAAGAGATGGAACAGAAAGTGGTGGAAGAGCTTAGGGGTATAGAGGAACAGCATCGTGAGAAGAGAAAGGAATTAGAGGAGAGGTATAAAACAGTTCTATTAGAACTACAAACCAGATGTAATGAAAAGGCGCAGGAAGTGGAATCACTGAAAGAAACTATGCTCGCGGAAAAGGTAAAAATTCATTCATCTTTCCAAGCAAAGGAGCAGTTTGTTAGTCAGATGATTGAAAACAAACTTGAAACTTACTACAAAGAATTGGTAGCACGAAAGTTGAAAATCGAACAGTTACAGGAAGAGTTAAAGCAAAGAGAGAATGATGTGGAGGAGGAGAGAAATCTAATGGCTCAGGTAATGACTAAATGGGCTGCAGAGATTAGGGAAATAAAAGATAAAGAAGCTGAGATGAACGAAAAATTGCAACAGTTAAAGGAAAGGGAAGAGAGTTTGAAGGCAGAAATAACAACACTGAAAGAAAAGGAGAAAGAAATGAAAAGCAATATTGATACATTGAAACATAAGTATCAATCCGCAAAGAAGACAGCGAATAATTATAAGGTAATCTTGTAATAAAGAATGAACATGAATCTTTTATTTTTGCTTATCATTAATTTTATCGTTTCCAATTTAATACGCAAATTATTTTAGGAGCATGCAGAGAATAAAGAGAAATTCTTGTTAAGTGAATGTAAACGTATAGAAGAAGGGTACAAAAGAGCCATGAATCAAGTACAACAAAAACTTGAAGCAATCGTTAGTACTCAAGAGGAACAAGTAACAACAAAGCTTAAAGAACTTGAGTGTCAGTATACAGAAAGGATAGAACAAATGCGACTTACACTGAAGTACAAAAGTAAATGTTGAATTATGTATTAATACTTTTAGAATGCAATATAGCTTTGGTAGTTTAAATGCAAAATGTAGTTAGAAGAGGCTAGATATTTTTTAATTTAAAGCACTTTATTGTACAACACAATTAGAAGATTTTTATTTTAGGGACCAATAAGTTAAAATTGATATATGTATATTGATAGAATTATTAATATCCGTTTGCTGTACTTTATTAATACAATTAGCAAACATTTAAAGTAATTTTAAAAGCAAATACGAAAGTACAATTTCCCTGATCGATAGAGTACTAGTTAATAATTAAGATCTATACATGAGTTGTAGAACAAGTGAAATTGTAAAGAGAGAAGAAAACCATTTTTACACTTATTAATTATTTCATAATATTATAAATTATCTATATCGAATGCATAAAGAAGTACTACCGTATAAGTGAGATAGAAGCCCTTAGTCACATGTTTTTACTGAACATTATGACATAATATTGTAATGCAAGACTGGATCTTTATTGGATCTTTTTTTTCTTACGAAATAGGTAAAGTCTAGAAAGATTAAATCGTTGTAGTAAAATAAATATAATTATCTTCTGATTTAAAATGTCAAAGTATACCTTTGAGTATTAAGAAATTGTTCACAATTTATATATCATAAGAAGAATATAGAAATACTTCTAGTAAGATTGTACAAAATGTGACTTTATTCTAGAAAACTTGTATTATGCATAAGAAATTTAACATTTACGCTTGATGTGCAAGGTCAAATTATAAAATTAATATATATCAAAATTTACGATTGGTAAAGTTTATATCGATTTGGTATTCAGAAATTTTAATGTTGAATGTACAAAAATTTCTATTGATTTCGTCTAAGCTTTGAGCACATACACATAAAATGTCTTGTACAAATTAGTACACATAAACATTTTGTAAATGAAATAAGAAGCCATAATTTTTTCTAATCTCATAATTTATCTCGTAAGATTAACTATGCGTGTAATATACTCACAGGTAATTATTAAACTACAGACTGCTGCGATTAGATTTGTGTTACAAAACTTTTTATATCAATTTTAAAATTAAGCCTTAGTACGCATTCTTTTATTCTCTCAAAAAACATTTTTGAACAAATGTGTTATAATTTAAAGCATATATTTTGAAAATTTATGTCTTGACTAAGACTTATAAACATTTACAAAGTATGTATTGTACATTATATATACAGTGGAGTCCGGTTATTGCGACACCGCTTATAACAGCAGACTGCATATTACATCCGACTTGTTCTCTAAGTTCGGTTCCCGTACACATTAGTTTATATATATTTTCATTCTACTTATAACAACATTCGTTTACAACGACGTAATTTTTCTGTCTCTTGAATGTCGCTATAAACGGACTTTACTGTATTATTAATTTTACCGGTGTCGTTATTATCATTCTTTGATAATATGGATCTTTAATAGTAGTATAATTCTTAAATCATCACTGAATAGAGAGTATTATTAATATTAGTTATGTATTTTTGTATGTAGAATGAATTAATTTATTTTTTGTAATAAAGATTTTATGTCAGTGTCTATTATTACCTAATTTGGATTAATGAAAAACCCATGCTTCTGTCTTCAAAACAAAAAGGCTGTAATGTACATATCAAATTATCTGTTAGCGTGTATGGAAAGAAATTAACAATTGCATTTAATGTTACATTGTCTTCTGAATTTGTTACTTTGAACTGGATTATTGAAAAATATAAGAATTTTACAAAGAGATTCTACAAGAGAAAATTTCCCCAATTTTAAACACATCAGAGTTAACGAAAATTTTATTTTTTATCTACGAAAAAATAAATTCGTGTTTAAAAAATGTCATAATTCTAAAAAATGACTTTATAGCAAATACAAATCTTGCTTTCTATACATACAATGTTTATTGGTTACTTAACAATTACATCACGTTTTAAATTTTTCAGACATGTTTCACTTTCTAAGTTTATGGAACTTATAATTCAAGTAGAAATTAGCATTGCATTGTTTCATGTGTATGAACTTTCAAATCTTCTAGCATGAAGATACGAGAAGCTATTTACAGCTTTCACATTGCTTTCATCTTATAATTGGTTATCGAAATATATAGCAAAAAAATATGATGTTCAAACGAAGGAATCATTCCAATGATGACATTCAAATCTCGTCCAATGTATAAATATATACATACATCTATAAAAATGTATTCAAAAGATGAATGGAATTTTTTTTACGTTTAAGTGTTATCATTACCCGATATACTTCTTTATCTCTGTATTTACATTGAATTTATTGAATGGTTAATCGCATTAACCTTGTAATTCAGAATCTATTTAAATTTTTGATACGCTGTATCAGGATAGTCTGGATATACCGGCATACACCGGTTACAGAGCGAAGTATATAAATACTGTGAAGTCCGTTATTTAGTGGTGTAAATTGACTCGATCAGAATTTATATCTCATTAATGGCGAATTACCATGAAGCACCAGTATACTTTATTTGTAATATTTGTTGCGTTATTGCAACCCTCGTTGCAAATTTTCTTGTCAAATAAATTTCACGGTGGTTTTACGAGGCAATTGCGCAGTAAAAATGTATTGCACAGCAGCGCAAAATACAAATACCAAATCAAAACGATTGAAATGCCAGTATGTATCGATTATTTTTATGATTTAATGCCCAAATTTAATATTCACTGATTTTTAGAAAGTCTTCAAATTATGTATATAACTTATATACAGATACTTACTACTTACATAGATGTTTTGTTACAGGTGGATCACTTTAGTTTTTCTGTAGAAGATACATTTAAATTAAGGTACCTTATAAATGATGATTGGCAAAAAGAAAGTAATGCACCTATTTTCTTTTATACTGGCAATGAAGGTAATATTGAAATCTTTGCTGAAAATACGGTAAGGAAAATAATAGATGTGTCGAATTAGATACATATTCAATACATGTCTAAAGCTTAATGTATTTGTTTATATAAGTAAATAATATTTGTTATATTAGTATAAATAAATTTACTATTTCTCAATTTCATTAATTTACTTTTTATGTTTTAGCTTTTTATCTTAAATATTATATCAATGATTATATTTTCAGGGACTTATGTGGGAGAGTGCACCTGAATTTGGAGCATTATTAGTTTTTGCTGAACATCGTTATTATGGAGACTCTATGCCATATGGTAATAAGTCTTACAGTGATGGTAAATATTTGGGATATTTAACATCTCAGCAGGCTTTAGGAGATTACATTGACCTTATTCAATACTTAAAGTCCACGCCACAAACTAGACTTAGTCCTGTAATAGTTTTTGGTGGTTCGTATGGCGGTATGCTTAGTGCATGGATACGTATGAAGTATCCTCACATTATACAAGGGTTAGTGATAATAATTCATAAAAATCTATATGTATATAAGTTTAATATGTATACAACTTATCATGCAAATTGAAAATAATGTTCCAGAGCAATTGCAGCTTCAGCTCCAATCCTTCAGTTGTCTGGAGCTGTAGAGTGTGATTCTTTTGCACGAATAGTGGCAATGGATTTTAAAATGGCTCATCCAAATTGCCCAAAACTCATACAAAGGTCCTGGAGCACGATTACCAATGTAACATCAAGTGGTAATAATTTAATTTTTAGTTTCTCTATTTTTATATGCTTAAACAATATAGATTGGTATCATATAATTCTTTCAATGCTGTTGCTTAATGTTAATAGACAAAGGAAAACAATGGTTATCAGATAATTGGAAATTATGCGAGCCATTAAAGAATGAAACTCATATTAAGCAACTAAAAGATTACTTGCAAGATATTTATTCCAATCTGGCTATGGTGGACTATCCTTATAAAGCTAATTTCTTAGCACCACTGCCCGCTTATCCTGTTAATGTAGGTAGACTAATTCTTCACAATTTAATAAATAATAAATTGTACAAAAAATTATTATAATATTGACAGAAAGGTTTAACATACTTATATTTAATATTTTATAACTTATACATTTTATAACTTGTACATTTTATTTCTGTCACAGGCTGTATGCAAGCACTTAACAAACGAATCACTAACAGGGACAGACTTATTGACAGCAATACATAAAGCAATTAATGTATATACTAATTACACCGGCGAAACAAAATGTTTAAATTTAAATGATTCTACACCACAGTTGGATGCTGTTGGTTGGAATTATCAGGCTTGTACAGAAATGGTAATGCCTACTTGTTCGAATGGAATAAATGATATGTTTGAAGCTGCGCCATGGAATTTTGATGAATATGCTAAAGATTGCGAGAAAAAGTATTCGGTAAAACCGCAACCAAATTTAGCATGTGAGCAATATGGATGTGCATTTTTGTCAACAGCGACAAATATTGTTTTCAGGTACATATATAGTCATCTTGTATTCAAAATAAGAATTCATCTTTTTATATAATTGCTATGTTTTTTTAGTAATGGCTTGTTGGATCCATGGACTGCTGGAGGAATCGTACGAAATTTATCTTCGTCAGCGATTGCAATAATAATTCCAGAAGGTGCTCATCATCTGGATTTAAGAAGTAGCGATGCTAATGATCCGTACAGTGTTGTTCTAGCACGAAAATATCATCGTTTCTTCATTAGACAGTGGATTAAAGAATATCCTCTGATACAAGGAAGTATGGGTAATTAAATGTTTGCTGTTTTGATGATTGAACATGGATTTTTGATAAAATATATTATAAATGGAGATTGAAAGACAAAACAAACACGTTATAATCATTCATCTTTATTTCGTAAATTATACTGTATATAAAAAAGCTTAACATGCACACAATAATGTTTACAAATATGTAACTAACTTGATTGTTTTAAGTAATAAGCAAAACGAACTGAAAATAATATAAGCATTTTATTATCACAGTAATTAAAGAATGCACGTGCTGTAATATAACTCAATGCACCGACAGATAAAACTGTAGGATACTTTTGTAACAATAAGAAATAATTGAAATACATTAAAAATACTATTTTACTCTTATAATATTCTTCGTTCAATTCTTTTCTTATAGTTATTACATGATTTAGATAATATTTCGATTATCAACTAAATGAAGCATTGGCTACCAAAAATGTATATGACTGCTTCTCTCTTTCAAATAATTACATATTTCAAAATACTTCAACTAAAAAGTTTTATAGAAATACATATTACAGTGTTATCGTCATATTAAAATATCGAATTCTTATCAATATATACACAAATGGCAAGTGTATACGTAAATGGTAAATGTATACATAAATGGCAATTGCATACATTGATAAGAAACAGATACAAGTGTGTAAAAATAACACAAGTTTGCTAACAATTATTTGATACAGTTTGCATTCCCATTCTTTTTAATCATATGTACCTAATATCCCTATAAAGAGCAAAACATGTTATTTCTTATCACACAGGTACAGCACATATTTTCCTCTCTAAAGTCTATACCAATCCTCTATTTCATAATAATAATAATTTATATTGCATGCTATTAAATATGAAAATGTAATTTCTATGAATTTATATTCATTATTAAATTAAACGCCCAACATCTAATATTTAACAGACATCACAGAGACATATAAATGCATAAAACGTAAAATCTTACTATCGTGATAATTCACGTTTGTTGTTACAATTTTCATATAGTAATCTATAAGAAAGTTACCTGATTTTAAATAAGATTAAATCCTACCAGATTTAGTTTACAATTTCCAATATAATATTTTTTGTGGATTCTTTTCTTTGTATCTACACACATAACTTGATTCGATGCAAGTTATCATCAATTATTAAGACACAATGAATAGTTTAAGTAGTTTTCTTCATTGTCGTAGTTTCGTATTATATATTGTATAATAATTGAACTGTGATTTGAGATATAATTCTATTTCTCGTATAATATTCAAAATGGGATTGAACGCCTTTGACTTAAAATAGGAATAAGTGTATAATTACATGAAGTACGGTATTTCTCGTAAAAATGATATAAACAAAAATAAATTAATATAATACTCTAAAAGAAAGCTAAAAAAGGTACTCGGTGAAAAATAAATATGTCTATCATTTTATAGTTTAAATGTACTTTTAATGCGGAGTACGTCTGTGTGCCGTAGTTGGCCTTGGGACACCTGACCGGCCTCTTATTTTTTTCGGTTGCACAAAAGTATTGTCGATTCCAGTATTGTAAGAAAGATATATATTTGACATATCCGGTTGCGTTTGCTATGAATAAAAAGTAGTATGAATAATACTACATTTACTCACCGAGTATAATCAATTCAATAAATACATACATCTTTGTTGCTTCCTACGGTTGGAGTTGCTTGAGCTTTCCGCATATTGTTACCAGTATATGCTACGCACTTTAATTGCCATTCTCCAATGTCTTCATTCCAATGAACATATCTTTCGATCATCGTCTGAAATGAAAATAGAATTTACAAGATGTTCTTTACTTCCACTATCTTCAGAGGGAAAAATTGTTTCTTCCGTTCAGACTGTTAAAACTGTTTTATAACAATTAAATCGTATTATACATACTTGATATTGCACAGGAATGTAACTGTTTACTAATAACTCTTGAAGCTGTAACTCTCTTCCAATACCTCTGACACCTTCCAAGAGCCCTTCCATTTCTCTTTGATGTTCTTGTTGTAAGTCAGACAATTCTGCTTTAACAGACATTAACATTGTGTACACTCGGGCTAATTTTTTTGTTTTTCCAGCCGCTTCTTCTTGCAGGGAAGAATATTTCTCTTCTATGTCGATACGTTCGGCTTCCTTCGCTTCAATGGCTTTTTTAAGTTGTTCTTCTCTGCTCTTACGTTGTTCAAGTTCAGTTGCTGCGGCGGCTAATAATTGTTCTTGAGCCTCAGCTTTTTCCAACAAGTTTTCGCCTCCGACCAAAATCTTATTTTGTAAATTTTGCATCTTCTCTCGTAGTGCTTCCTTTTCACTCCTGTAACAAGTAATGTTTTGTATACATCTTACTGTTGAAATTGACTATTAAAACTTACTGAGTTCTTTTTAATTCTATAACATCCTTGTCATCAGGACTCTTGTCCTCTCTCTCAGCTTTGTCAATCTTCTCCGTGGAATCTGCATCTCTGTCTTCTAATTCTTCCATTGTTAGTATTTGACTTCTTCTACGCCTTGCTTTCTTTTCGTGTTTGGTTTCTCCTGTTTCTTGAGAATTTTCAGACTCGTCGTCGGATTCTGAGATTTCAGCACCGTTTTCTTCCAACTGTTTTCGTAATTGTTCAATCTCCACTTGAAATTGACGAAGTAAAGCATCTTTTGGATCTTCATTGATCCTCGCTCTATTTTTAATATTTTTCGCACGGTTTGCATAACGGAGAGTGCTTATAGTTTCGTCATAATTTATATCCGCCGGACTTACATTAGCACACTAAATTCGAGTAGCTCTGTTAATACCGAGATTTAACGTACTACAATCAATTGAAAATTAATTAAAATATTACCATTAATGTTTTTGAGTTACCACCCAGAGAGTCTTGAAGCAATCGTGTCAGTTTGGAATTTCTGTAAGGCACATGTGAACTTTGACCATCAACCAATGCAGATATTACATTACCTAATGTCGAAAGAGACAAATTAATTTTTGTTGCTTCTCTTAAACGAACTCCAGAGGCTTTTGTTTTGCTTTGTCTTTCTGAACCCTGAAGCAATAAAATAATTTAATATACGCGTTTTGACGAAAATACAGAATATTAATAGCAAAGGATATCATACAGCTAGATCAACTAAATGTAATTTGCCCATTTTAACGTGTTGTTCACCATCTTCTCCAAGTTGACTAGACTCGACTGTGATTGTAAATATTGCATGGGACCTAGAACTTGATACATTCATTGCTGTAGCTCCCACAACACCTACACATTAAAACAATAATTGAACATAACTTAAACCATGCAATAATGTAGTTTTCCTAATTCAGGAATGAATTGAACTTACGATATAACGATACTTACGATTCTTATTACCGAGAGACATAATTCGATCTAAATCGTCAGCATTATTTACAACGTAACCACTAAGATCTTTGACAAATACTCCAATGTCAGGTCTTTCTTTCACTTCCAGTCTTGTATTTTGATCTTTACCCAGTAGATCTCTAACTTCCTCATTATAGATCTCCAAGTATGTTGCCCGTACAAGAAACCTATTGATAAGGTACTACTGCTTTAAAAGTTTACTGAATTGAAAAATCGCTTAAATAGATAACTAAATATATATGTACATATGTGTTATAAAAATGTATCTCGTAAATATAATATACTTACTTCTGGTTGTCATGAGCTTTAGCTATATGCCCAAATATATGAGCAAAGCTATTTGGAATGATACCTCTAAGCTGTGGAGATGTTTTGGCCCCCGACATGGTATAAGTTTTACCAGTGCCGGTTTGTCCATACGCGAATATGGTCCCATTGTATCCTTGCAGAACTTTGTCCACGATAGGTCTTGCAGTTAAATTATATATATCAACCTGTGTTGAATCAGTGTCGAAGACAGCATCAAAAGAGAAAACTTTTGGTGGTTCTCCTTGCGCAGCATTGGGATTTTCAACAGTTATTTCACTATTTATAGTATCGACGCGTACTATATTTTTCGAATGCCCGTCCAACTCCTTTCCATTTAAAGGTCGAACGCGGACCACAACCCTAACGTTCTCTATTTCCCCGAGTTCCGTCGTGTTGTCCTATATTATAAGTAAGTAACATTTTAATAATCGTATGAAAACATATAAGTAAAACATTATACGAATTAAAATAAGTATCCAATATATCAGAAACATTTAATTTTCTAGATATTTGAGGAATAATACTGACACGGTTTGACAGATCGAACTGTCAAATAAATACCTAATAAGATTTACTGTTATAAGTATGTATTACTAGAATGTATGAGAATACTAACTTCAGACCCCGGCATTGCTGCTCTATTCCTTTTTAAAGTCACATAAAAGCACAATTCAGACTATAATATTCGATCACAAAACACTGGTAGAATACGATGAAGTAGCAGACGACCTCCGTAAACAAATGGATCGATTTGATAGGTGCAATCCATGAAGGCTGGTGCAAGTCAGTCACGTCATCTGCATTTCGTGCAGCTCCGAACTCGGTAGATATTTTAGCGACACTTTTTATGTACATACCACCACCGACTACCGGAACATAGTTGGTGTCGAATGTTAACGTATCTTAACGAATTATATCTCAAAAAATTGCTCCCAATTTGCTCCTTCCAAATCTGAAATAGCTCTCCCAGCACCGTTAATAGTTAATGAGATATTCGCAAAAGAAAAAGTAACAATTTGTTGTTAACAAAATAGGTTGTAAATGACCTTTTTATACAAATATTATGGACCAAAAAATTGCTCCTGATCTGTTTTATAATAATCAATAGTCAGATATCTCAATAACTTTGCTCGTGAGGGTACATCTTACCAACACGGGGTCCCTGGCCCCTACAAAGGGGGCTCTATGACCCCACGCTCTCACCACACGGGGTCTCTGGCGCTAGATCCGGGGTTTTGTGACCCAACTTTCTCGCACACGGGGTCCCTTACTATCAGCACCGACGAGGTATAGGATAGACCTATCATCTTATGGGACTTCGTGTCTCATGTTCAGAAATACCGATAGTATAAAAAGTCAGGAATTTTCTGCTGCCCTCTACGTTATGAGAACGGTGAATTTATGAACTACGTTAAATCCATTCGAGCTCAACTAGTCCAACTTCTACAGTGTGTCGAGTCTAAAGTACAATGTAGTCAGATCATGAGTGTTCAGTACGTCGGAGAATCATCGAAGGGACCATGGTCGTGAACAGATTCTCTTTCGTCGGAACTAATTCTAAAACTTTTTTAAGCAGCGCCATCTGGTGGCGATTGTGCGAACTATCGAAGAAGTTCTGGATTTAGTTCCAACTTTCGCCACCCACTTTTTGGGGGCGCCACTAGTATGTCCCATGAATCCCAATTTTTCCCGCGCTTTTTCAAAATCCAAGATGGCGGGAAAACCTGCAGTACGGTGGCGCCCCCACAAACAGTGAGTGGTTTGTCGTCGAAATTTTGATTACCGGTGGTATACGATAGACGTGTGTAATAATTTGCAGTAGTCCTTTGCCGGATTCGATCTGTTGTTATTACATGTGGATTACGGGACAATGAACGGTACTGAAATGGCTTGCGTCAGTAACCATTTGAAACGTGATCCTTTATCGCTGTTGCTCGTACAACTCGCGAGCTCGGTCGAATGTTGCTCGTGCAACTGTCGAATTGGGACTGACGCTTGTGCGTGTTCCCGTGAAGAAATTAGATAATAACCCCAGCAACCATGGCAGTTTCTGCAGATACTACTACTGCCCAAGTTTAAAAGACGTAGGCAGTAGTTAGTTTCTGTAGTAATCTGTTGAACCAGACAACTATAATTAGTACAGGATTGTACAATATTTATGCAGTTATATTTAAAACAATTCGATGAAATGAAGCTTATATTACCTGACGTAACTCTATTGGAATATACATATATACGTATAAATTATAATGATATAAAAATTTGAAATACAATACGATGCGCTACGGTACAATACGTCTATTCTATTCGATTGCTCCCTTGCGACTACATCATGCTATCCGCGTTCGGCGCAGTGCGCTAATACGGAGGCCAACGAAATATCACTGTAACACTTAAAAAAAGTGTTAAAGTTTCATTTATATCATTGTCCTGTGAAAATGTTCATACTTCCAGCAACATTCATATTCTTACAACATGTAGTAAAACTATTCATACTCCCATATAAATTATAAATATGTAAATGTTAATAAAAGCGGTGTATATATTCTCTCACATGTAGATTTGATAAACTATTTATGAAACTACATCTATTCTGAATTTATCTGTTGCAAATATACAAATGTAAAGCAAGATATAAAAATAAATAAAACAACATGTAAAAAGTAACATTAATAAAATGTCCATTAACGAGGCATTTAGAATAAACTGTCTTGTAGTTAAGTGAAAAAATATATACTTTTACGTTTCATGTTTCATGACTGTCATATTTATCCCTTAACCTTAAACTGAAGCATCGGATATTTTTATTCCCGTCAAATCATATAGAAACACGCAATATGATTGAAATATATAACACTTCATTTGTGCTAATAATACTCAGAATTGATGCTTTATCGGTAACGTCGGGTATTGATATTAAAATGGTAACAGTGTTACATACCCTATAAACGTTGGACAGAAAAAAGCATTGGATGATAAGTGTATTCTATACCTAGTCGGTGGTTATATCGCGTATACAGTGAAAGAGTAATTAGAAACAATGAAGAATAATGAATAAATTAATGATTATAAATTATAATCTACATGTTTCTTAGCAAATCATTCTTTTAGAATTTCTTGTTTTTTCTACTGATTTTTACAAACACGAATAGGAATGTAATTCATCGTAAAATTATATTGAATACGTTTTTCTTTTTAAAGATCAAGGACTTACGATCGCAGTGAGCAAATTCACTCAAGATAAAAAAATCGCAATCACGGTCGTGAATGAAGTTAAATCACGACCGTGATCGTGATTCGGCGATCACTGTGATAAATCTGGATAAATCACCGTTAGTGATTTTGCACGCCATCTCTACCGACCGGTGAGTTTGGTAGGCGTTGAGTTGCCCATCACCACGGTCGTATATACAGGTCCGGAAACTCCCGTGGTGGGGTGACCGAAAGTTTCATGAATCTTCTGCTAGCACCAGCGCTGCAACGATGTGTCCGTACAAGAACGCATGCTGATGTATATCCGCCACAGGGAATATATACGACCGCGACTCATAGAGCATATATAATAGACTGCGCGATCTTATGGTAGGGATGAGGTTGGCAGTGAATGAGAGGATAATAGATGGAGTAACAGACTCCTCTTTCTAATGGGGCTGTTGGGGAGGATTCTCCTACGGCTGTGTGGAGACATTACATACATGCGTACAGCATTCCTTCTCCTCATTGCCATCCAGTGCTTTCTCCCTTCCCACTGCGATGTGCGAGTGAGAGAGGAATGACTCTACCGCTACTTCTGTCCTTCGGTCTGGCTTCATCTCTACCATAAGACCGCGCAGTCTATTATATATGCTAGGTAGTGACAAGACGAGATGTAAGAGTAGACATTTCATCCAATGTATTTTTTCGGCTCACTTTTCTGGGGCGACGTCTCTCATTTCCATTTTAGTTTCACTACCCACCGCGGATTCACCGTTCTCATAACACAGAGGTCACTAAAATCACAGGCTTTTTAAGGTGTCGGTACTACAGTGTAGGTGGGTCATCAAATCCCATGAGATGAAAGGTGTATTCCTATACCTCGTCGGTCGTAGTGACAATTCAATGGTGCTGGAGTTCTTCGGTCCTAGAAATGGGGTGACATTCCCCAGAAAATTGGGCCGAAGAAATACATTGGATGGAAGGTCTATTCTTATACTTTGTTGGTGGTAAAAGACACAGAATTCAATAATTCTTACCTTAGACGCAGGTGGCGCTAATGACATTACACGAAGCGTCTAGCGATTTCCTTAACAACGGATATAAAGCAGAGGAAAGCTGATTTACTATAAGTACAGCTCAGAATAGTACAATATTAAAATGTAAGTATGTACAACTTTTTTTGCCAATGTATTCAATGGTGCAGTGAGAAATGTTTGCGTGCGCGCCGTAACATGTAGCTTTAATACTGACGAATCTCTGTGCGCTCTCTGTCGCGTCCGGTCGTTAAAAATGACCCTTTTTAAGGGGGTCTCGAGTGCTGTTCAGTGAACACGGTACGGATCGAGCCTGTGTGCAACTGGGCAAAGCCTTTCTGCTGCGCATGATTCCCGTAACGTTCGTGCGCGCGGTTACGACAGTGTTGAGACCCCTCCTAAGGCTGAGTCATCGGAGACCCGACTTTAGAACGATAACGCACACCGTGAGGGACTGTTTATATTCGAGCCATCAAGTGACGATCGTCTTAGCAACGCATCTCCGACAAAGAAAGTACATAGTATCCAGCAACACTTTGAAGAAGAACGATCCGAGTAACGAATAGAACAAATTATTACGTACAAAAGCGCGTTGATTACATTTTTTCTGTAAGCCTCGTTACGTTAGGCCGCTAGCTCGCGATGTCTGAACTAGCAGCTAGTGATCTGTCTATATTCTATCAACTTCTGAACGATGAAGACATTTGCCATTATGAAGTCTCGTCGGATGGTGCGAGCACATCATGCAGTGACGCTGAATTAGAAATACAAGAATCGGAACCTGATGAATTTGATGCACTTGAATGCGAAGAAGATGCGGATGCAAAGAACTACACCGTGTCTGGACGTACGTGGAGGTACATCCCACCTTATAACGAGAGTATAACAGACTTTCAAAACTCATTACAGGATCACACGCTTTTTCTAACCAGAAAGAGTGAAAACGTGCAAACAATAGACGAATGTTTTCATCTCTTCATCAATCAAGAAATTATCGATAATATCGTTTTGTATACAAACAAAAAGGCGGACGAAAGTATGCCAATGAGCAAAAAATGGAGACCAGTGGATCGCATCGAGATCGATGCATTTTTAGGTGTTCTGTTGCTTGCTGGACGATTCAAGGAGTCCTGCGAAAGAAAACGCGACCTTTGGCGAAAAAACGAAGCATTCTCACGACCATTTTACGCTGCCACTATGTCCCGCGATCGATTCGTCGATATATTCAAGTATATCCGTTTCGATGATTCCACCACACGCGACACAAGAAAGGCGAACGATAAGCTGGCACCGTTACGAAACATTACTAACATATTCACAACGAATTGTAGGGAGTCGTACGACGCGTCGAACGTTGGATCAGTTGACGAACAATTAGTCGAATTTCGGGGACGTTGTCCGTTTAAAGTGTACATGCCGGACAAGCCCGGAAAATTCTCCTGAAAGTCAACGGGAACAACACGTCGTCAAAGAACTGACCGATTTTTGGAAAGACTCTAGTCGGACAATAACAACGAATAATTGTTTGACGGACATCAGTGTGGCAGAAGAGTTATTAGCGAATCATATTTATCTCGTGGGAACCGTACGGAAAAGTAGGCCAGATTTGCCTAAAATACTCGCGCGAACGAAAGATCGCCAGCAATTTTCGTCTCAGTTTCTATTCACTCACAATTTAACGTTACTCTCCTATGTTCCACAGCCATGCAAGTGTGTCGTTTTATTGTCCAGTTTACACCACGAGCTCAACATCTCGAAACCAGAACAGAATTACAAACCGGACATAATCAATTTTTACGATTCAACGAAAAACAGTGTGGACGTACTTGACAAAGTACTCAGGGAATACACTTGCAGGCGGCCCACACGCCGGTGGCCGTTATCGCTTTTTATGCACTACGTGGATATTGCCGCGTATAATGCGTTTGTCGTATGGGTTACGAAATACCCGACCTGGGAATGCAACAACACGTTGAAAACAAGAAGAAAAACTTTCCTGGAAGAATTGTCGAAACAGTTAGTTAGTAACAATATAGAGAGACGTGCTATTCAATTCGAGAACCGTGAGGTAACGTTTCATAAATACATTGTAAATGCCATTGAAGCGACCGGAAGAAAAATAGTGAAAACAATACCGATAACTGTACCGCGAAAGCGATCGAGATGTTACATATGCATTGGCAACGATAATAAATACAGCTCTGTCTGTGATAATTGTCAAGTACACATTTGCAATATACATTCTATTCACAAACGTACTATATTATGTAGTAGATGCAGTGACTTAGAATAAATATTGTCTATAATTCCAAATTATTATTCCCTGTCCTTCGTTTCTTATGCGATAGCGGTGTATAATGGTCAAAATATATCTGAGAAATTGGAGAACGTAATTTGATGTATACTCGAAATCGATGCATTTACATTTTTGTTAAATTTTAGCGTGGATCAGAATTTACCCGGCTATCGGATTTTGGTATACGTATTTTGAAAATTAAAATGTGATAATTGTACTTAACATTTATAAGGCCAGTGTCCCAGTTGAATATTTCCCTTATCGTCTGTAGTTCTTACTGTATTTTAATTTCGTACCAAAATTTGAAAAATCAACTGGTTCTGAAGCTTGTCAATGGGAAGCTATAGTTCAACTTTACGCTACTGATGGCGTTGCACTCGACAAGTATTACATAACCTTCGAGATAAAAACGTGGGGTCATCGGAGACCCACCAGCTATAGGCTACAACGCACCTACTGACACAATTGTTTCTGTTAGTTTATGTACTCAAACCAAAACTGAACTTGGACTGATAATTTTGAAATCGATACTTTCTCTAGTTATAAGATTTCGGACTGACCCTGAACATATTTACTTGGATAAGACTGTATATCTATTAATATAAGCTGTACTTTATCACAGAAAAGTTTCGTCTAAATCCGAAGCATAATTTTGATACGTTCTTGTAAGTTATAACACGGAGAGAAAATTTTACTCGTGTGTAAATACGGACATGACTGATGAGAATGTGCTTAAAACAAATTTACAATGTAAATATTAAAACGGTAGCGTCGAGGGCATTGACCTCAAATCTTAATCTTCTGTAAAAATCGTATTTCTATATGCACATGCACAATGTACAAAAACTAAGACAAAGATTAAAAGATTCTAAGACCTCAACCTCAAACGTTTAATTGCAAGTGTGTCAATTACAAAGATGATTGAAGAAATGAATGTTATTTAATGTGACACAAACGTAACCTAATCCTGAAGTTTCGACACTTGAAAAAGACTTACTTTTATTACTTTTGTGTCACCGTGTATAAAAGAATGTGACATGTAAAAGAGATTCTGATACAGTGTAATGGACAATGGGGCAAAGTTATAATATATACTTTAAAATGTAGATGTACACTTAGTCGCTTCATTTATTTGAATTAATCCAAAAGTATTGTCAAATAATGTCAAGAAAGTGAGTTGTATTTTTTTTGTAATAGTGCAGTTACAAGAACAAAAATAATCGTGTATAAAATCAGTTTGTTAATCTAGCCTTGTAACAGATATACTCATGAAATTATATTTGTAAGCGACGCAACTTTTTTTTGTACATTTCGTGGATGAACACATACCTCAGTGTAAATAGATATTTTTTTATTACAATCCTCTACCTGTATGCGTCTATGAAGAGAGACGCTTCGTGGACATATTTAGAGCTATAGGATCAAAAGAATTACGTTTGCCATTTTCTTGTCCCTGCTTTGTTAGAATAAGGAACTGGAGTACAGCTACGGATGCTCTGATAATGTTTGCGTTCAGCGGACTCAACTGTTGAGTGATTTCATTAGATTTTTACGCTGAACCTTTGCTCAATGTGTTGTGATTTAAAATTGCGGAACCCAGTGAACCTACTACATACACAACATAATGTATATACGAGACACAATACAGCCATAACGGCACTTTATATACAATACAGAATTTCATATTTTCCACATTTTTTTATTAATATCTATAATTTACAAATTTCTGTTCCTTCTTCGATCTTTTTTTATAATGTAATATCCAATAATATAAGCTTTATATTTTATTTACTGTATGCACTTTAAAACTATCACGGAATTAAAAAATTTATATTTACATCAAAACGTATGCGTGACATCCTAAAATGTTCTTTAAATAAATTATTAGTATATAACGGAAATATACTTTCAGCATAGTTTTCATTTTTTCATCTAATTCTACGCCTTGTTGTTGTTAAATTATTTATAGGTTGCCCTAAATCGTCCATTAATATTTTTATTACATCTACATCCAATCCATTGTCCAGAGTAATTAGCAAAGCTGCATTAATTTCTTTATACTTTATTATTATTTTATTAAAAAATAATATTCTTCACGCATGTTGTAACAACTATTTAAATTTAGCACGCAGATAACGTCACAAGCTGCTATAAAGTGTCTCTACAACAAATGTATCATACTACCCCAAATATCGTTCAGGAAAATAGGAGTGATCACTGATGAGTGGTGAGTTCGCAACGGTTGTCTCAACACTCTCAACGATGAGTCCGCTCAAGTCCGCTGAACACAGCTAATGATGCACATGCACATTCAGTTCACTTCATTTTCGTTTTGCCTGTGCACACACAGTATAAACGCATGCCGTTCCAGACAAGTTCGCTGCGTGACCTGAATGCGCAGAAAATCATCGTACTGTTAATCTGATGACGATATGAACCAAAGTGATAAATTTTAACACAGACACAGAGTATTAATAGAGTACTTTGTGCTACAAAGATACATACTACACATATGCAGTATCATTTTTTGTGAATATAATATTTAACGGTAATACAAAACAATTGTGCGAACTGAAAACAAATATTTTTTCTAATAATGTCAAACTGTTTGCTGAATTCTCTTAAATCGATATTATGCATTAATAATTATTAGTTATGTACATACATATGTATAGCGTTTTGGATTACATACTATTTAATTTATATATATTAGTATATCAGTATTACCACAATGTGGCCTACGATGTCACTTTTAAATGTAATTTTAAAAAATAGCACGGTAAATGTATGGTACCATCTACGGCAAAATGACGAAGCTAATAGTCAATTAATATTATGTACATGTCGCTAAATAGGGCCACCACATTCTTTGGGTTCCATTTCACTAAGAAACTACATATATATTAAATAAAAAACAGCAAGAAACACTTATTATTGAATAATATCGATGTAAGGGATTTCCATTAATAATTTTACATCAACAAAGCATACTTTTGTTTGCATTAAAGCATAATTTGCTTTTTTCTTTGCACGGCTGATATGGTGAATATTCTCCCAATTACTAATTTAGAAAATCACAATTATTAACAAATGCAACAATTAACAATTCTGCATTCATCCTATAGTTTCAGAGGACTCCAATAAGTGATTTAATATCACTGATTCTAATTCGGTTTCTCGTAAATATAATATGAATGTAAGAAGAAAACAATAAATCCCATTAAATCAGAACTGAAATAATCATATTTATAAGCAAACATGTGTTCATATAATCATGTAAAAATGTATATTTATATGCAATACATATATCATGTACTTCATTGATTGCGTATCTAATAACAAAAGAAAAATTTTCAAATACCTTCAGGTATAAAATTTTGCTAATATTAATAAATTAGCAACTTTTATATTTTAATTTACTTAATATGTAAATAAATACATACATATTGATACAACAATAAAATATTAAAGGATTTTATATAGTACTGTATGTAAATACGTAGTTTGTATGCGATACGATACATACATGGCATCATGTTTATTGATTGAAATCTGTCACAGTGTCAGTACTGTCACCAGTGGAAAATACGCACTCGCACATACTTTTTGCTACAAGATTTCTTTCACTACGGATAGTTAACAACAATTTTCTATAACAAAACTATTATATTCACCATGGGGAATCTCTGTATGTCTTGTTGCAAACAATCAGCTTCACATGAAAACTTGACACCGGATTTGGTAAGTCTATCATTTTGAGGTTAGCAATATCTACGAATATGAGTGATGTTTATTCGAATTGTACTGTCACACTTCCAATCATGATGTTATCTCTTTTTTTATTATTATAAGCGCCGTTAATGAATTGCACATATTTTCTAAATTATATTAATAATGAAATGTTTTCCAAGATGATAAAAACATTTTTTATGTAATTTTACAGTATTTATAAACGGTATAAATTGATTATGTTTTTTACGTATTTCTTAATTTAGGAAACCAGGAGAAGACAACAGATGGAAGCTGCTGATAGAAGAATTGCCGCCCAGCAATCTCGGGGTATTAAAAATATAGAAGCAGTTAAACGGCAACAAAGAATAGATGAAGAAGTGAAGAACCGTCAAGAACAAGCTGGTAACATGAACATACAACCCACATTAAAGGTCAGTTGGTAATAATTTGTAATAAGGTATAATTATACTGTTCAACACGTATTTAGGCCACTAATATTTGATAGGTGTTTCGTGTAAATTTTTATGCGCTGAATACGAATCCGGAAATTATTTTCCGCCCCTAGTTCTAGTTTTTGAAAAATTTGGTTTTGAAAAAAATGTAAATTTCCAACAATGAAGACGTTTTGTGCAGTAATAGTTACTTGATTTCTTTCAATGCTAAATTATTGTTTGAACTCTCTCGAATAAAATGGTATAAGTTATTATTCCATGAAATACATTTAAATCTGTTTAAACAACACTGAAAGTGGAGATGACACCCGAAACGCATCAGTTTTTGCGGATATTTTTCAATTTATTTTGAAAACTAAAACTGTAGTAGAGAATTTAATTACACCACACAATAGAGCAGACATTTTTCCTAAGGAAAGCATGTATTAATTATTAATTTTTAATTTCTTTGTTTCAGTGGCAAGTAAGTTAATGTAAGACACATGGAAAGCTTGGAATACTTATATTGCCTGGAAATTCATTTTATTCAACATATCACTAACTGTATATCTACAATTTATAACTGATCCTGTATTGTCATCTTTTGACACAGTCAAATATAATAACAAATGGCAAGTTTGCATTTTGTGAAATTTAAATGTTCCAAGAAAACATTTAAATTATATACACATGTACATTTTCAGATTTTCTATGGCACTTTTAAGTGTTTGCATTGATTATGTTTGTATTTTATGTGACACATCAATGAAAAATGTGTTGCAATATGATTATATATAACACAAATATTACAAAAAGTGTTACAAACAACTATTGTTACACATATACAAATACAATTACAATGATATATTTTTGTTACACTTGTGATTATTAGAAATTAAGAAATATTTTATTACTACAGATATCTACAATAATGCAGTGATTTTAAATTACTGCTTTAAGCTTTTACGCGATACCAGTATTGATTTAAGTGTAGAGAATGAGAATATTAAATTACATGCTTTAATATGTTCCTCATTCCAATTATTATTGTTGACTATGTTATTATTAAAAAAAATTTAGTAAATGTTTGTATGTCATTTTTGACAATGTAATGTATATTTAAAGTTGTTCTTTTATAAATTTGGCATAAAAGACAGAGTTGATAATGTACTTAATTACCATTTATTTTCTATAATATGTCATGTTTATTTAAAATAATATGAAGTATACACTGATTACAGTAATGTAAATCATTATATTGTACACTGTAAAATGTAAGTATGTGTATAAACGAAAATGTTTAAAATAAAATTGGAAAAGTATGCTCTTGTTGTAATTATACAATCGAAAATGTATCTCGTGTGTCGGATAATAATGAAGATACATCTTAACTTATATAAAGTATTTATTTACATATTAGTAAATAAAACTTATTTAAAAAATAATTTTTTCTATTCAGCAGCAATCAATAAGTTGTGTATATACTTACATATATAACTCCAATGTGGAGGTTAGGGTGGTATAAGGATAGTATTTTTTTTTCTTCAACTCCACTAATAAATCATTTTACGATGAAGAATTAAACCATTTTCTTTATCTTACAAAACATGAATATTACAATTTCTCTGTGTGAAATAACATTAAGTAGTTGTTCATATGTATATAAATATATGTATGTATATATTTACATGTAAATAAACATATGATATATGACATGAGTACATAAAAGTTTGAATCGTTACAGTATATTTTCGAGGAGAAAGAATCTGTAATTTGTACAACATCGTATTTGGCAAAAGAGTGTGCAACAAATGTATGACGGATTGATTAAAAATATACAGTTTTAAGCTATATTATTTATACTTTACTTATATTTTTCCGATTCTGTGTACTGACCAAGATCGGAATAGTTTCTTCGTGGATTTACTTTTTAGTTCCCTCCCATGAGCAATTTGTACTTCTAACGATGCTCCATTATTTAATGCCAACCATGTCCGAATTTCATCAGTTGCTGCTGAGACTCCTAAAAATGACATGACATTTCAACATTTTTAAAACTTAGATATAAGAAACAAATGACGAAGGAAATATGTAGATTTTGCTGCATAGTTGTTCATTTTTATACCTAATAATTCATGAAGGCTGATTCGTCGACTAGCTAGCAACTCTTTACTAGCACTTCGAATCTCAAATATCAATAAAGATTGTCTTGGAACATTGTCGCCTTCTATGTGGAAGTCTATACTGAATTGAGGATTGGGCATAGCGGGTAAAAGTCGAGATTTTGCCAAAGTTTTACCATTATTTGCCGATGATGCAATCTTATTAGGACTGGTACAACTATTATTAAACATCAGATATTATCGTTAAAGCTGTAATGTATGGATTCATGTGATTGTTCTAACTCATACTTACGTTTGAAGTTTAATTCTACAATATAATTGAGCGATATGTGCAACATGAAGACCTTGTGCCTGCAGAACTTTACCTTCTATTCCTGAATATTTTTCTCTGGTACCATTGACAATTTTTAATTCTAATAAAGTGAGAATAGTATTTAATAAAATATACATAGAATAATTTCAATAATGAAATTGTTCTACGTGTACCTATCATGTTGAATTGAAACATCAAATAAGTATTTAATAATATTTATTAATCGATTTACGAACCATTTGGTCTCAGCCTTAAACGTGGACTAGACTGTCTTATTCTGCCGAGCATATCGGGTTGTGATACAGCATGAGCTAAGCCAGATTCTTGTAATAGCTCTGTAGCATCAGCTTCTCCACCCCCTCTGGGTTCTAGACTTAATGTTATACCCTTCGCATCATTCTTCTCTTCTATATTTACTTCTGACCGAAATCTACGAAGTTTTAGTCCTCTCTTCACCTAAAGTTATTAATATTCTTGTCAATACTGAGTCACTGTGGTAGAACTTGTAACAATTTATTATATTATGTTGGTGCATATGAGGTGTCGTTTTCTGGATGACTTTCTCTTTTTTTCAAAGATAATTCATTACATAAAGAATATTATATTAGCATTAAGAAACGTTTGATGATATTTCTTTAAAGGTATAACTACAAATACATTGATGATGATTATTGTCCTGTTTCATTAAATGAAAATAATAATAAAAATAAAAGAATTATTCGAAATATATAAAGCGATATGGAAACTATTGTAATTGAGTACACACCACATTTGTATCAATATAACATACCTTTGAAACTTGCTGAAAAAACGACATTCCACATGTACCTACCTAATATATTATAAAATATAATAAAGTTATTTCAGTAGCTTGATATATCCTACAATCTATAATTATATATTAAACAGTGGAAATGCATTGAAAATATAGTAAGAACACAAGTAACAAAGTTATAATGTTATTTTCAAGATTGAAATTACCTTTTGCTTCATGACACGGAAGCTGTTGTATTGCGGTAACTTCTTGCCAAAGCCTTGTTCCGGGCTTGGTGTCAGACTGTTATGAGATGATCGTCTTTCTCTCAATTTCGCCGCATCGGTGGTATCGATCACGTCCGTTACCGTTTCCGTGATAACGCTAGGTATCCATGAATTCTGGGTGCCGTTCATCTCGCTGGAATCTTTGCTTCCAATACTAGCTTTGTCTAATACCAAGCAATTCGTTATGGATACAGATAATTACAAAGCATGGAAAATCGAGACGTTTCTCAAGAATTAAATCGATTATCTACAAAACAGTTTACCAGATTGACTAGAAACTGTTGGTTTCAACAGTGTCACTGTGCGCGGCGGTGGCGGGGGCGGCACGACATCCAAATGTAGTCTCATCTTCGACTTTTCCATCGACGGTCTCCTAATAATGTTCGACACCGTTTCAGAGCTCTCGATATTCAGCTGCATTGAACTCTCGCTAATATTGCTGGCTGCGTACGTGCTTTGAGTCTGAAAAATATAAAACATACAATATGGGCTCAGAACACAAAACAACGAACAACAGAAGGCTGAGGTATCTCTCTATACTATTAAATAAGAAAGTCCTTTGGAGTTTGGTACCTCACACTCTTCGGACAGGACCTTAATCTTCAGTTCTACAGATCCGGTTTTGGTTCCCCTTAACGTAAACCAATTGGACTGATCGTTGTTCGACAATTTCCGGATGTCATCGAGAGTCAATGATACTTTTCCAAGATAATCTTTCATACCAAAAGTATCATGATCCCATAAAACCTATGTCAGAGACAATATATTTTGGAAATGTTCCACCAGTGTTCGTACATACACTCTAGTTGCTAAATATCGGGACGCTCATCGAATATGAAGTGAATGTATATTTGGCATTACGACATTGTTAACCTTTTCGGTACAAGTGGTTTAAAGAATGCTTATTGTGGCCGAAGAACGAGTATACAAGTGGCCTTCGTAATATTATTCATATGACTTCTCTTCGGCCGTCAGGAACAACGTCGCGCTTTGGTGTCGCCGTACCGAAAAGGTTAAAGGTCTCAAATTTTGTTTACAAGATATTAAAGCTCGATGGACAACACCTAATGTTAACACAAAGTAAAAAAAGGGGCCAAAAATATGAAATATCCCATCACTTTCATACAGAACACGGTTGTCCTAATACTTATGAATGGCACAGCGTATGTTGGAATTAACAAGATCTTACGACATCCAAGGTCTCGCCTGTCCTAGGCAAGCCCATGATGGAACTTTCATCCCAGCAAGGATTCAACGTCTTCTTCTTTATGCTGCTCTTGTATTTCGTCTCGTTGTTCAGCTTTAATTCGCAAAAAGGATCGCTAAACCCGTTCAAATCTTTCGCCATGAGATCCTTGGCTCGTATCAGCGTCACCTCCATCAGTCCGCTTCCGGTGGACAGCAGACTGGATACGTCCGACGAGGCAGGATCTATGTCCTTGTGGGTTAGTAGCAGCTTCTAAAAATAATTACAGGTATATACAGGGTGTCTCGGGCCGAGACTCTCGGCTAACTTGATCACCTCGAATAATGACTTAGCAGTACACTTTATGAAAATTTTGAGGCGTGGAACTTAAGTGGCATCAAGGGGCACATCATATAAGGTACATGTTTCTTTTTGTAGGTGGAGGCATTTCAAAGATTTCAAAGTCATTCTGATTTTTTCTAATAGAATGACCTATTTTTTGTACCACAGATCGATAGAGTATCAAATTCTGAGTAAAAATGTATTGATCTTCATACGTCTTAAACCTAATACTTAACGAGATATTTGTAAAATAATGTTTAATACATACTTACTACCTGGAAGCTATAGACTATAGATGCTTGAATTGACCCCCCCTCAACTTCAATAACACAGCGATTTCAATTCAGTGATTATTTTGTAAATATCCCGTTAACTATTAGGTTTTGGACGTATGAAGATTAACACATGTTTACTCAGAATTTGATACGCTATCGATTTGTGGTACAAAAAATAGGTGATTTCGTTAAAAAAAATCAAGGTGACAAAACAAACATGTACCTTATAAGATGTGCTCCTCGATGCCATTTAAGTTCCACGCTTCAAAAGTTTCATAAAGTGCACCGTTAAGTCAAGTCATTATTCGAGGTGATCAAATTAGCTGAGACACTCTGCACGAGGACACCGGCGTGGACAAAAATAAAACGCTATCACGGGAGTGTGGGGGTAGTAAATAAATAATTGCCGATATCGACTGTACACTGACTGCCTGTTGCATCCAAGGCAGGCTGTTCCTCTTCGTTTTCGGTTCGTCGTCCGACATGGGAAGGGCCAAGCTACTTCTACGACTGGTGACCACTTGCTGCACGCTTTTCACCGGATGGAACATTACGGACACCGTCATTGTTGACATATTGTTCGAGCCGCTGAGAGGCAGGTCTTTTCTAATTATCCATGTGCTGTCCTGCAATAACGTTGCTGTTACATACGAGAATGTTGCGAATGTCAGGTGTACCAATGAGTAATTCACTATTGTTCTTTAAATACAAGGCGATATGTCTTAAGCTAAAAATGTGTTTCTGACCTTTCACTGGCTAAAACAGCGTCGAATCTTGGAAAATCATTCGTAATATAAATGTAACAGACCTTGGACTTTTACAGAAATGAGTAAATACTTGATTTCGCCAAGAAATGGTAGATTACTTATCGGTACACCTAATATACAAGGTGGGTCGGAAATCGTAGTACAACCGGGCAGGCGGTGATTCTACGTTAAAAAAGAAGAAAATATTTTGGTATAACATTTTCGCATCCGGGGCTCCGTTTTCGAGAAACTCGACTTTAAAATTTGTTCAACTTGTAAACGATTTAGTACAATTTTCTTGTCGTGTATTAGTAGTAAAAAAGAATAAAAAATGACTAATCAGTAGAAACACTGCATTGTTTTATCCACACAATCATCAATGTTTGTAAACACTGTCCCAGACAGAGACAACCGCAGTAGTGGAATACGCGACAAGCAAATTGTACTAAATCGTTTACAAGTTGAACAAACTTTAAAGTCGATTTTATCGAAAACGTAGCCCCGGATGAGAAAATGTTATATGAAAATATTTTCTTCTTTTTTAACGTAGAATCACCTCCTGCCCGGTTGTATTACGATTTCCGGCCCCCTTGTATAAGGTGTACACCAATAGTTTACTATCACTGGTAACGTAATCTAAATTCACAATATCCTTCTGGTCTATTCTTTTAAAATGGCGGCGAGTGTGGCAACACGGAATACAGATATGATCCCTGAAACGGGTATAGGCTTCTAATGTTTTAGGAAATAAGTAGATTACTTTTTTTTGGTACACTTTTTGGTATAGAGGCTTTCTCGGGCCAGCGCCATACTATTCGCGTGCACAATTAAAATTCTGTTATAATAACACTTCCAAACAAAGGTGAAATGGTATCAGAGGCCACACTTTCTGATGCGAGTAACTTTTTTCTATGTGGACGCGTAGAGGTCATATGAAGGACAACTCTTTTTTTAAAAAGGAATCGTATATTTTTTAATACACTACTGGATGCTACTCGTTATTCCCTATATAAAGTACTAAGTCACTTATAGCGAATTAGAGCATTAAAAATTATACACATAGAAAAACGTTACTGGCGTCAAAAAAAATGTGCCACCTACTATTAAACTTTCGTCTGTGTAGTCCCAGTGTTAGAGACGTAAAAAAAATCTGTTAACGTTACGAAAAATAATACGAGCAAAAAGATCTACATTTTTATGTAATACTCTATTAATCATTGTGTGGGCAACCAAAATATTTACGGTTATTGAGCAATCGGAATACCTCTGTTCTGACAGATTAGATAAACATGGATAATTTTACTTTCATACTTTTCCGAAACTGTTAGTTTTCCCTTGCAATAATATACAAAGTGCTGTTTTAGACAAGAACATAAAAAATTGTGAAAGGAAATTTAGAAATGGGTACCTGGGTACCCGGTTGTCTACACAAGGGTTAACGGTTTCGAACAATTCGTACGCTAAATAGTTGGAAGAGGCGAGATGCGATCTGACCTGCGACAAAGACAGTATAGCGAGTCCAAGCATATCGCTGTCACTCGATTTCGCTATGTTCCAGGAGTACACGACGAAGCTCAACGACACTTGAGTATAATCCTGAACCAGAAACTGAGCCCTGGATTCCCAGCACGGCGATGTGGTACTTCGAACATAATGCGTGGTCTTCACCTGAGGATTTTAACAAAGAAGCAATTCCACTCCCGCTGGCTTCTCTTTCGTTTACGAGCAATAAACATAAAGTCTCGTGTAAAAGATTTCTACTGTCGTTCGACGGATATAAAAAAAATTCTGTACCTTCTTTCGATTGTTAAATAACATGCAGTAAGGGTTACACTGAGAATTGTCGCTGTTCAGATTGTCCGCCGAATGAATGTACACCACGAGCACTCCTGAAAATATTATTATCGTCGTTTAATCATGAAAATTACCTTACGAAATTATAAGAATCGAAATTACTGGTCACGTTGACGTATATTGCGATAGTGTGAAACAGTTGCTGGGCGTTGTGCTTGTAACAAGAAAACGAACAAAAACGAAAGAAACGTTTCATAAATTCATGCTCGAAAGCCACATCCATTACATATTATCATCGATACGACACTCATCGTGTGTGTGTGTGCGCGTGTATGTTTTTTTACCTGATTTTTGTGCTCGATTCAAATGTTTTCGCGACACTGAAAATACCAGAGACACTGATCACACCGTATAAAGAACAGTTCATTATTTAATAAATATTATGTCGTAGAAGGTATACTTATGTATGCCACTGTATGTTGGCTTTTGGGAAGTTAGGTACGTGTCGAGAATCGGTATATATTTAGATGATAAAATCGAATCGGAAATGTTACCTGAGAGATGTGAATTGTCTTCGGTTATTTCTGGTTGCGGTAGATCTGGATCCAATTTCGGGAGTGCTGTGTATTCTAATCGAGCGTTGATGTTTGGAATGTTTGCACTGTTGCGGGACGGTTTCTTCTGCTGCAATACTGTTTCGACTCTGCTCGAACAATGACAATTAAATTACGATAATTATATTATATTTTAAATAGAGTTGGGCACAATTTTATTTTTTTATTTTTATAATGATACATATGTAGTTGAATGCAGCAGTATCTAAGATCGTTATACTGACTTTTAGATAGTTAATGAGATTAAGTAATTGTTTCCCAAGTATCTACAGAATTCAAGAAGTAATTAGGGTAAACCAACCAGTAATTCACTGCATACCAGTGAATGACCATTAGGAAGGAAATGTAAATTATAAATTTAAAAATTATTAAATGTTCATAAATGGAGTGTAGTTACACTTTTAATATCCCATATTTTTAGTTTAGCGAATAATTCTTATTAAAAATATTTTCGAAATATAGCAGTCATTTACTGGGCTTTTACACGTTTTGTACTTCATAAATAATTTTTTAGAAGTTACGATAAGAATAAGTAATTATTTTTATAAAAATTTCAAGAAAAATACAATAGCTGTTTTAATGTTATAAATAAATACATTCAAGTATTAATCTCAAACGTCCATAAATTTAACAATTCGGTCATTCACTGGTTGGTTTACCCTATATATTACTATAATATAGTATAATACCATTTTATTATAAAAATTGGAATTTCCACGTTTAATCATGTAAAAATGGCAAAAAATATTTTCTTTATCTTCTATTCGTTATTTGAAACTTTTTATCTCGATAATAAATTTGCCCATCTCTGATTTTAATGTCTGCGAATGTAGATAGTATCAATCTCGTTTTTCATTTAAACAATAAGAATACTTTTTTCCGAACCTCGATCAATTGGATCGATTGTAATTTCTTTGTTTTTATTTAAATTATTCTTACAGTTCGATTGACTTTAATAAAAAGGAAGATTTCACATTGTATTAGATGAAATCAATAAGTAATCCACAATATTGTGTCAAATTTAATACTTATTTCTGAGGAAATCAGAAGCCTGTACCGTGTTATAGTGATAATTTGTCCTCGATCTCCAATGTTCGTAACCATTTCGAAAGAAGAGAAGCGTTAAACAAATATTTTAAATTTAAACAACGTTAAATATATTAAAAAAGAAATAGTAAATTACTTATTACATTTAATTTAAACTTCTTATATACTTATTTTCTGCTTTGGTATTACGTAAGATTTTGACGAAACATCATCACGAAGTACAAAAACATTATTTCATTGTGTATCGATTTAATAAGCAAATTTCCCTGCGTTGAAAAAGTGTTACGGAAACTTACATCTGCGAGCCGTCCCAGTTATAAACACCTAGCGCCAATTCGAAATGCGCCAAAGTGATCGTGCTGACAAGTCGTTTAGCTTTTAATTTGATGGATACTTTCTCGTTATCCAAGGCACCAACTAGGAACGAGACGTCCTCGTTCCAAGTGGAATTTAAGGGAGTCGTCACACTCCTTTGATCGCCTAGCGTTACCACCAGCCATCTCGCCTCGTCACCGATCGGAGCTACATAAGTACAATGGAATAACAGAAAATCGTTGCAAATTGAATATTAAGAAGAAAACTTTTTTCGTAGCAACTTTCAATACAATATATAATTATTTACTAATATTAAGATTCTTAGACGGAAAATTAAGTCTCTAATAATGAACATCGAAAAAAATTCCTCGAAAATGTGCTTCGAGTTTACTTGATAACAGAAAATCCCAAGAATCTTTTTCCAATTACCTGATTGTATCAATAATTTCAAAACTACATGAATTTAACGAATTTACATAATTCTAATCCAGACTGAACTCGTTTTAAGCTCCTCTATCATTCTACGGAAACAAAAATATACTGATTCATTTTAAAAAATGCAGGTGACCTTGAAATATCCAAAGTTCAACTTCCACTTGAAAAAAAAAACTATTAGCGCCATCGGATGGCTCTCTTCGTGCAGTGAAATTTTGGTTAAACAAATATTTCTGTGAACCTTATAGTTTCGAAGATATCTGTGGTGGTAATAGTTATTGTTCCACCCTGTATACATATATACAGTGTGTTGGTGTGTAACGTTTATTTTGTTTCTTTGTTTTCGAGTCAGTATGTCGAAAGAACACACACACGTCGATTACCTGAACAGCCATTTTGGGAGAGGACAACGGTGAGCACACCCCGGGGTATGGAATTCGCCATAAAATCCAATCTCGGCCCGGGCCGTTCTTGCGCTCTCAGATCCATCTCCAAGTGGCCCGGATCGACGATCCAGCTGGCCAGCGCGTCCGTGACCACTGCGTGGATCCAGGTCTTAATTAAAGGCATTTCCATCATTTGCACGGCCCGGAGGATTCTCACGCTGAACCAGACGTCCGGTTTCTCCAAGAAGCTCACGCTTAAAGAGGTTGCATGGGGAAACGGCGCCATGGAGTTAAGGGTCAGGGTGGCCAGTATCGTTCCCGAGAGTGATAGTTTCTCCACGGCCAAATCCACGTCCATGCCGACCCTTTAATAGAAAGTTTCATTATTTTTTTTTTTTTAACTTAAGTGTTACATGTTATCGAACGCCATCCGAGATTCCATAATAGCGTGATACTAAAGTATAGTAATTAATAGACTACGGATTTTATGCATTTATAGCTTATAGGGGTCTGTAGAATACAATAAAAGACAACACTTTTCATTAGATCCAATGAGTTCTCTGTTTTATTTTGAACTCTTTCTTTTATCTTGAACTTTTTCTTTTGTCTTATGTTATACCGATTTGTGTTTCAATATCACATACAGGGTGTAACAAAAGTGTTGAAAGTCCCTGAAATGAGTCACTCGTGAGGTGATTTGGAACAAGTTTTTCCTTAAAAAAATACCGATCAATCAGAGCTCGACCGACAGATTTGTGCTCCGATTGGTCGGGGTTTTTCGTTAATATCTCGTTAACAGAGCCTCGGATAAGATTTTTGCTAAGGAAAAACTTGTTCCAAATCACCTCACGAGTGACCCATTTCAGGGACCTACAATATTTTTGTTATACCTTGTATACCATTTTATTCGGGAGAGTTTGTAGAATAATTTGACGCACCAATCAACCGAATAACTGTTACTGTTTGAACACAGGAAATGCTCAAAGTTAAAAGTTTACATTATTCTTCGAAATCGAATTTCTCGAAAACTGAGGATGCTGGCGAAAAACGTTTGTAGATTCATAATCAGGACATAAAAATCTATAAGGAACGGTATTGTATGTTAGAAGTCCGTAAAAAACGTTAAAATTTGTTGAACGATGTTTTAATATATTTGACGGTGATATTGAAGATAATTTTTTGTTTGGTTAAAAGTTGATTTGTATGCATTTATCATTGTCAATTTGCAGTCAAATAACCCGTCGTTTGTTGCTTCATTTATTATCTGTAATTACATTCTTCCCGAAAGAAAATCGAGAGACAGAACCCCGTCAACGAGAACCGTAAAACTTCGTTTCGTTAGATGCCACACAATTATTACGGTACACTTTATAACGCGTAATTAATTATTCATGAATGCATTAATAATTCATAGACGGTCCACGCGAGACCCATCACCAGGATCCCATTAAACTAGCGTGAGCGTGGACCGTATTATATATTTCGAAATATTTGCCAACGAATTTAAAGAAACGCCGATGCATCGAAAATAGCTCGATTATCATACTGTTGTTGTGTGTTTTCGTTCACCTCTGATCCGTTAAAATACATATTTTAATAGAAAAACACAGAAAACGGAAACCGATAGGAATTCGAAAAATCTTATGAAACATTTTTCGGCATCTTTTTTCGTAGAGATGATTGGAAAGAAATATTTTGTATTTAACAGTAAACAAACAGTGTTAATGGTTAATATTATTATCGTTGATATTCTCCGTTCTTCAACGGCATTCTATATTATCTTCTTCAAGTATAGAAAGTAACACAAGATATGAGCTGTTTTTTGTTTGGTTAAAGTGGTACGAGGTCCACTTTCCTTTATGTGGCCATATTTAATGTTTTGCATTTTACCTCATTTAAAAATATTATTAAACCGCGATAACAAGTTTGTTTTATGTTTTTCAGCTTTCAGACATTTCCAATTTTATCATACGACCATTTTTATTAATATGTATTCTCTAAATAAAACAGTGTTTTTTTTGTTAACCGCGAATGGACTTATAAAAAAACTATTTATGTAATTCCATTTAACACTAACCGCACCGAGACTTTTATATACCTATTTGTACTGTATTTAAAACAGGTCATTTGACCGGCGGTCGGTACGGTTAGTGTTAACAGCCAAATTGACATTTGACTAATTTATGAGAATATTGCACCGTATTGACATTGCTATTATGAATATAAATCTGAATATAATATAAATCCATCTATGAGCTTTACATCATTTTTTGTTTGGTTCAAAATTGGACTTACACCACTTTCAATGATACTGTATTTAAATTATATTTTAGTTATACCTAATATAAATGTAGAAAAGTACCAACCCTTTCCCGAACAGTCTCGTTGTGATCAGCATACGAAACTGCTCGCAATCGAGCCGTACGTCGGCCTCAATGGACACTTTTGTTTGCCCGATTGGACCGTCGAGGTTGTCATCGTCGTTGGTGTAGTCTAAAGTTCTTACGCGTGTCACACAGGGGGTCTGTTCGCCAAAGGTGAGTTCCCTCAGCTCCAATGGTCCTAGAATGATTACATATTGCAATATACACCGCGTAGCGTAACTAGAAAACCATCCTAAAATTTTTAATTCTTCTACAGGATAAGTGATCCAATTACGGATGGTGTCCGTATTATGGAGAGTGATCTATCTCTCTATGAACTAAAAACACTGTATTTATACAACATCTGAGATAATTTTTTTTTTTATGAAGTTCAGTTCCACTTTTATTCGGAGGAACGAAAACATTTTACATTTGAACTCTTTTATTCATTAAGTTTCGTATTTCAATGTTGAATCTGTCAATTTGGTCATGACTCTTCAAACAGTCTAAGCGAAAGTGCTATTTTCTATATATATACATAATATATAGAAAATATAACTTTTTTTTCGTTTATTCGATATTTCACTAAATTTTCAATTATTCCATAAAAAATTTCTTTTTGGAGATTCCAGAAAAATGAAACTTATTAGAGAGCTCGAAAAAAGAACAATTATCAATACTTTCTTATTATTTCTTAAGAAAAACAAGACCATCGGGCCACTAATCGGTCCGTAATTGGGGTCAAAATAAAAACCAACAAAGTATGTCACGACGGAAATCGTGTTGAGAAATAATGATTCTCCAGAAAAGGATAGATTGTATTCCCCAGAAGAAAAGTGGTTCGTTTTTATTTTGACCACAATACGTAAGAATTGAAAATTGTAGGGTGGTTTTATAGTTAAGCCGCGCAGTGTATTGATGGCAGCTGTGTTAATGATAACTTCTAAGAAAACGTTTAATATGATGTTTTTCTTGGATCCTTTTTTATACCTAGGTAATGTCTATTTTCTATTAGATTTTTGGTTTTCAAATTAAGTTTTTATGCAATATCTATACAGAACGCTATTTCGTGTAACATTGTTTGCTGGTTTTTCGATTCAAGCTTCTTTTTTTATCAAATTTCTCTTACCGAGTATTCCAGGTTTAGCTTCATTTAATAACGGTTCCAGCCTTTCCTTCGCTAAGGAGAATATACTCGCGGCGCTGAATCTCCACCTGTGTTGCAGTTATAAAATTATATTATGGATTTGATATGTGCAGAACAAAAGGTATATAAAATAAAAATGTAAAATGTAAATACCTATGATCACATTTGTAAGAAAATCTGTATAATATAAATAATATAATTTTGTTTATATGTAGTGTATACTTATAAACATACAAAATCGATGTACATAACACCAAATAAGGGATGCGTTCAGTTTTTTTTAGATTTTTGACTTACAATTAGACCACTTTCATAACCAATGATTCAATTATACATTTTTTTAATACTGTAAAGAAAAATTATTTATAGAAAATAAATGATAATGTGAGAAAAATTGAATGAAAAAAAATCAATAATAAATTCAGAATTTTTGGTACAAAGAATTCATTACTTTTATTTAAATTAAAATGTAAGTATACCAGGGTTTGTTTCTTTAAACAAAAACGACTCAAATAAATTTAATAAAAATGATAATGCAATGTATTTGTTAACTGAGATTTCGAATTGTTCATAATGTATTTAATAAAGGTTCCATTCACACTTTCATGTTCGGTTATAAAATATAAAATTTCATTATACTTGAGTGCTTTGATTGGATCGATCAGAATATTTCGGTTTACAGAGTAGATTAACCTAATATTTAATGGCAGTACGAGCGTGAATATTATAAGGGTAGCCGTCTAATTTCAGACTAATGGATGACTCGCAAGCTTTCGAGGCATTAGTTTTTCGACCAACGCGATTTTATCAATAGATTGAAAGACTGACGAGGGAACGGTTAGCTATTGTTCATCGTTTTAACAGATCCGATAAACGGAGAAACGTTTTCCGCAATGATTTCAATTAGTTTCAATTGCAAACCTACATACCTTAAGAGAAATTTAACCAGTTTTCATCAAAACAAATTCCGTAAAGTAAGGCAAATTCGTGATTATTTATTATAAACTCGGCTGAAGCTTTTCTCTGACAGAATACAAATGATATAGGCGACGATTTGTCATGACTAGACTACGGATGTTTATGCAAATATAAATATTTTTTGTCCATTTTAAAAACGGTTCATAAAACTTCTAGGGTAGATATACTCGTCAAATGATGAAAAGACGTCCTAATAAACATAGATCGAAAAATTACTATTTTCCGAGTTATAAACAGTTTTTTGGTTCGGCTAAAGCAACTGATTTCTTCATTTCGGAAGCTATCGGTGCCGTATGGAAATTCAATGTACAATTGCAAGACAATTACAATTACAGGTACATTGTAATTTTACAACTACATTGTAATTGTAATTTAGATTTTGTCATTAGATTACATTTTGTCCAACTCTGAAAAAAATTAATAAAAATTGTTTATAATTTGGAAAATATTAATCTTTCGACCCATGTTTGTTAAGGCTTGTTTCATCATTTGGCGAGTACTATCTACACCCTAGAAGTTATGAATCCTTTTTTTGTCCCAGCCTGTATACACGCACAATATATCCTATACCGCTAGTTTTTGATCATTTTGAACGGCTTCTCGCTTTAATATTGATTGTTAACATAATAAATCCCTAAACCATAAACTTGTATGTTACTAAAAGAGAAATTAATGTTTAACCTATAAAGAAAAATTGAGAAAGGTTAAAAATAAGTACAATTTAATTATATGTAAGCTTTGAAATATTAAGATAACTGAGAACTAGTTTTTGATCGTTTAAAATATATAAAAAGTAATTTTTAATCAGATATTTTCGTGTTCAAAAATCATGAAATATACTTTTGTCAAACATTATTTATTTAAAATATTTAAGAGGGCACTTATTTAATATTAGATATAAAAATATTAAGCATTTAATAAATATGAAATAAATGTTATAACATATAAAAGTATTAAAATGTATAAAATATTAAAGAATAAAACATTTACATTTTTTCCTTAGACTATAATTTTGAAGCTAAATTTTTCTTTACTTTATTAGCTTCATCCTTTTCACAGATAATTTATTATGATTTATGTCCTCTAAAGATTGTTTTAAATTTTCTTCATTACACTTTTTAATCGACATTTTAGATTAAGTCTCATCTTAACAAATAGTTCAAAGAAAAGAATCAAATAAACTGATTTTTAGTATAATTATATATATAATTATTTAATAATTGTATCATAACGTACCTACTTATTTGTTACTTAGGTGATTAAAAATTAGTTATAAAAGAAAAAATAGGAACTAAATACTTTATCAGTGATTTTTAAACAAAATAATATATATAATACTAAAATTCTTGGTTTAAATAGAGAGTAAAATATTTAATACATAATGTATGAAAACCAATCTTTGATAGTTGCAAACAACGTGGAAGGAACCAACTTCGTCGTCTATGGTGCTCTCTTACTGCGATAGTAAGAGATGGCGCGTCCAAGAAGGGTTTTCTGCAAGTGCACTACCCTAACATTTATTTTCATGAAAGCTCACAACACTAACTGCTGTTAGATACAATACATATATTTTTGAATTGTCAATCTTTATTTCCGAAATTTTTATATAACTTATAACAGATAATTTATAAAGTTATAATTAATAAAAAGACTTAATGTATTGTATAAAACTTTTTGTAAACCCTCTTTCAAACGCCGAAAGGCATATGAAATAAGCGAATTACTATTACTAATTTTGGTCGACAATAAACTTAAACAAAGCCATTTGTTTCATCAACTGATTAAAAATTACTGCCCGATCAAGAACGAGTTCCTTAACGGTGTGCTGTGGCAATCCGAGTCACTGCGGCACCGAAACACGCGTACCGAATAGCTGTCCAGTTTAATACGCCTTTCGCCGCGACACGGTGCGAGGTAATGAATTAGCGTCATTATCGTTAAACCGCGGTTAGCCAGTGCAAACTGCTGGCGGGTTAGAACGTTGGCGTCATAAGATCATTGCGGAAGTTTTCGTTCCGTTACTGTATCATGTTCGCGGCGAGGATAACGACTGGAACTGAATGAAGGGAAAATTTTCATTCACCCCGGACCTACATGCAGTAAATCCTCGATGATTGTTCCAAGGCTCTTCGGCACTGACAAGGAAAGGTCCCCAAGTGAAACGCTGACTTTTTAAAAAGGTTTAACACATTGATCGCGCTTGGCATTCTGAAGCTAATGATATTTGTTTTAACCGCATGCGGCGATTAGTTTACGAGATATTTCATGTTCAGTGCTGAAGAGTCTCGAACACTCATCGAGGATTTATTGTATCGTCGCCTGAGTTCTTAACTGTTCTAACTGTATTTTTTTTTCCAAAAAAATGTAGTCAATCAATCTGGGTGCGTGCCTCATTGGTCTAAAACATACAAATTCACTATAATAAATATAAAGAAAATCAATCTAGAGAGCAACAAATATTCATTTAAGGCCCCTTTCCTCTTTAGTGGCCCGAAAAATGGTGATATTTAGGCATTTTTTTAGAGAACGTAAAGAAGACATGATAAAAGGACATCTTGACCTTTATTTCTTATACAAGGTGGGGCAATAACTATGTCCACTTTGAATATTGCCGTTATTTGTAATAATATGAAAAAATGTTATATACAAAACCCACACGGTATAGAGGGGGGCATATTGTGACACAAACATTTTCTACGTGGGTGAAAGCATAGAGGAGATTTCAAGGTCACCTCTATTTTTTTTAATGGATGCTATGTTTTTTTTATCGCGATGTGATAGCCGGTGTTGGGATGACTTCAGCGAGCTATTATTTAAGCTCATGCAAGGTCAAATGTGGCAGTAAAATAAACTTTCTTACATTACAGGAGATGCTCGAAGTGGTGGCCGTTTGCGTCAATGCAAAGTTGCAATATTCGTATCGCTGCATCACGTGTATGTCTTATCATTTCTGAACTTATTCTAGCACATGCTGTATTATTTTAATATATTTTGTTTCAATAAAAACAGGCTACGCGCTGCGATTGGTAACCAACGTTACCGCGGGAACTCGGCTGGCAGCCTCGCCCAGCTCGTGTTCTGATTATTCGGGGTTTTTCGTTAATATCTCGTTAACATTTTTGCTAAGGAAAAACTTGTTTCAAATCACCTCACGAGTCTCCTATTTCCAGATCTTCCAGCATTTTTTTACACCCTGTATATATAATTTTGTTACCATCAACCGAATAAATTCTAAATTATGGTTGTTTGGCATCTTTCCCCATTTGGCATCTTCCCTCAAATTACTTTACCGAATATTCTCATCGGAATTAGTTAATATCGTTCAGTTTTCGCATAGTTGGTTTATTTGTGAAAAGCACTGTATCGTGTATTAGAATCAAAGTTGGGAATCGAAAAGTATTGCTTAGTGTTCCGGAATTCTTGAACAGGTCTATCAACTATCCAAATAAGTATAGCGCCTCTTTCCAAACGAAATCTCGCGTGTTTTGTCCCCAATGGCTTCGAGACCCCGACAAACGAGAAAACAGAGAAGTCTGGGTCCGTTTCACCCGAACACGATGTATGGGCAGCAGGTGCAACCCGATCGTTCGCCAGACGAACTCAACAAAACGGAATATGTATTACTTTCGGAGCAATTGTTGCTCAGGCACGTAACAATAAGCTTTCTGAAGGCTTCTTATGTGGTCAACAAAAAAGCTCGTGCGAAATATGAAAAAAATTCTGAATATTAGTTTCGAAAGGTAATATTAATATGCAATACATAAGTAGTCCACTGTTTCTTTTGAATAAACATGGCGATAATTTAAGCTCGAAATGTCTTTCCGATCTCTTCATCTTTCATCCGTTAACTACATACAGAGAAGATTCATTTTGTAGAGATGAATTTGAATTTTTTTTTCACCAACGCAACCTACTGGGTAACTTCAGAGGCTCTAGTGTTTGAATATCTTGAATTGGTGATTGAAAAAATTATAATGACAAATAATATTCAGTTGGTTGTGTCACGAAGTTGTTCTTGTCGAATTATTGAGAGTCTGAGATAATATGTCTTGAGGTAAGGTTTAAAAATGTTGATAAACTTCGAAGAACGAAAGCAAATGTTATTGAAGTGACTGATTACTGATTAGCTAGAGAAAAACGTATTGAATTTGATTTTTAGATGTAATGGATGATTTATTGGTATAACTACTATATATCTTATTAAAAAAACAACACGATCAGAATAAACTTATGTTAATAAATCAATAGATATATCAGATGTACCTATCAATAAGTCATGCACTATTTCTTGATAAAATCATTATTTGTTTACACGGAAGTCAAGGAATTATACTGTGTCATTTGTATTCAGAATACGATTTTCCATCAACCTACACCGTTTTTACTTGGTGAAAAATCGAGAAGATACTTTCACCTTAAACGTATCGCCTCATAATTAAAATAAACAGTGGACTACTTAGTGGTACGGCGAATAGCTTTTTAATATTAAGGTCACCAAGTCTTGTGTGATATTAAATAAAAACATAATCTACAGTAATCGAGATCGGATATTAGTAAAACGTTGGGTTGAGATATTTATAATTTTTACTATAAACACTGAAAATGATTAAATAAGAAAGTGTAAAGGATAATGATAAAAATATCAGATGTTCCAATAAATAATCTATTACCTATCGTTAAATTCAATACTTCTTTTTTAGGAAATCAGGAATTCATGCTTTTTCACTGATTCTGTCTTCGTTTTTGGACATTCGTTGCGATTTTGAAAGAAAATGTAATTTGCAAACAAAGTGTATTAGGTGTACCAATAAATAATCTACCATTTTTTTAAATCACAAAGTTATATATTTTACCTTAAAAGTATGTTTCCTAATTTCGTCAAGTAATAGTGAATTACTTATTGGTACATCGAATATATTTACTAAACAATCGTTACACTTATAATCGTTAAAATTTATTTACATGTGACTATCGAGAAGATAGGTATTATCCTGCGTATCGTACTATCATTTCAAAGAAACATTGCAGATTTCATAAGAAAGTAACACACTTTGAAAGGAATCTTGGATGAGAGTTCGGAGAAGAATAATCTTTAAAGATTCATAGATGGAATCTAACTCGGAATCTTGAAGCTGGTATAATGCAAAAATACACGTATCATTATTATAGATTTAATCGAATTAGAAATTCTACGACTTTTAACGTGTTTCCCCGTTTCCCGTTTGAGAAGATCGAATCGCCACGCGAACTTAACATATATCAGCTAAATGAATTGTTCGTTTATGTTCTGGTATCGTTTAGAAACTAATTTATCACGATTTCATTCATTAACAATTGATAGAATCTCGTTCAAGTGTGCATTATAAGAAAGAGAAATTTTTTTGGTGCGTATGTTAAAGGAAGTACATATCTACATAGTAAAAACCACGAAGATTTATAATTACAATAATTAATCATTTCTTGCAAACATTTCCGTAAACTATGTGTTAGATATGCAAGAATTTTATCAGCGTTACAATCGCTATTAAAAAATATTTCCCGGCTATTTGCCTCGTATTGCGATAAAGACAAGAGAGAAACCCGATGATTTATTGATTGTTTTAAATAATAACTGTTAATGTACAAATTTTAGCCATACATTTCTTTCTGATATGCAATTTAAGCTCTTAACAATGTAATATGGATCGTAATTTTCGATCTAGAAAAGTTATGCACTTATTATTTACAGTCTGACAAGAAAGAAGTGTTTTAAATCGTCGTTTTTTAATGTACCTATTCTTTTATACATGCGTGTACAGAGAATAAAATAATTTGATTTAAAAAAAAACGATTCATGGAAGTTCTATTGGGTCTATAAAAAATCATATAAATGAAGAAATCGTGTCTTTTATTAGACACGGTAAAAGAAGTATAAGAAACGATCCATAAAAGTTTAATTTCTTTAATTCTATCTTAAAAATTAATACTATTACAAGAAAGTTCACTAAATCAATTTTTAATCATTCACCGTAATTATCTATGTATGTACTATTTTATATAAATCATATATTATATTTTAATTTAATTTTATTATATATTACATATTTATATACTGTACATTTTCTATTAATTAAAAAGATTTACTCGAAGAGTAGAGGTTTACCTTAATGGTCTTTATAAGAAATAGAACGTTAAATAACCCTTTTATATAGAGACGTAATAATAGTTCTAAAAAAAAATAATCAACGATCACATAAAATCATATGGGGAATCGATTGCATTTTCAGTTATTTGACTTTTCTGAAACACTTGACGCATATAAAGTGAAAAAATATTCGTGCACGTTTGTACTGTTATAGATTAAATTATAAAAACGAACATTTTATACAAACGTCACTGCTTTCCGCACTAAGGAATGTAATAGATTTAAGATAAGATTAGATATTTACCAAATATCGGTAAACTTCTCATTTTACTACGTTCCGTTTATACATATTCGTGTGTACCTATGCTATGAACCCAGGCATATCCACGCTTTAATAATTCCTTGCCGTACGGACCATAAGGCATCCGTGCTAGGAGCGGCAAGATTCATTTGGCCGCGCGTATGCATGCATGGAGAGTATCAGCGAAATGTGAAAGGCAACGGTTATACGCACGAGGAATGTGGAATGTGTTTACAAATGCCTACATAGTATGGTTATACGTCCGTGAACAACGTTCATTCACCCACGGGGAGGGGACACATTTCGAGGCATTAACAATCACGCGATATGCCAATGGAGATATCATTTCGATCGCGTTCCATTATCGCCAGTACTCGCGAACCCGCTGTTACGAATGAAAAAATCGAAGTGTAATAATTATGATGGAGACCGATTACAATCTCGAGTGGATATTCCGATACAATTCCATGACATCTAAAAAGAAAAATATTAAACAGTTTGTTTTTCTTTAAATATTTCGTCATTGTTCTGTTAGTTAGAAAACTTTTACTGATCGACAATGTGGCTGCCAGTAACATGGCGTTTTCTTCTTTAATTACGCGGATCATTTGAAAAGTTCTTGGCGCGGAAAGAGAACTTAATAGTTTTTCAAAATTTAGTAATCTTCAATATACTAATCTCCTCTAACATCAGTGTACTTGAACCAGGGACTTAAACCAATATGATTTTGATATCGGTATTATGCTATCACAGCTACACCGAAACCGATATATTACCGAAAATCGAAATAAACACCGGTATTTTTTCGGTTTCTATAAGGGTAGGGCTTATATAGGGTTATGTAGGGCGAAGGAACGACCGAAAATACCGGTATAATACAGGTATTTTACGTTTCGATAAAAGTTCTTGCTGGAACTAACGATATTACACTTTTATAAACCCATTGTGCTAAACACTCTCGAGAAACTTGCACTCGAATTCACTTCTGACGATTCTTGGGAGACGCGGCAGACGACATGAAAAGCACTTTTGTTCAAGCAGCTGTCTCTATACGTAATATTATTGCAGTATATTGAGTTAATACTTTACAGTTATTCATAAAAGAATTAAAAATCTTCGATTAACTAAACAATTTTGCAACAGATGTAGCCTAGTTATAAAAGATATCTCTAGTGAGCGACAATATAGACGCCAGTAAACATCACCTTATTTAAAAGCTCTTTTCTCTAACTCTTATGATTACCGATCAGACAGATCGTTTTCTTAATCTAATCGGAGAGAAAATAAAGTTTATGAGTTATAATAATCTGCAATAAACGAAAAATTTTTGAACAGATGTAATCTACATACATAGTTACTTTAAATTAAAAGATATATCCAGTGAGCGACAATATGGTCGCCAGTAACATCACCCTATTTGAAAGCTCTTTTCTCTAACTATTAATAATTACTAATCAGACAAATCGTTTTGTTTATTTAATCAGAGAAAAATCCAAGTACTTTGATAAAAATTCACGATGTCTAAAAAAACAGGAAAATTGAAATTTTTTAAAAATTAATTTCTTCGTTACTTTACATTAGATCTTCAGTGAACCACAATATGGCCGCCAGTAACATCAGTCTATTTGAAAGCTCTCTTCTTGAACTATTACGATTCTTAGTCATAAACCTTGTCTTGTTAATCTAATTAAGAAACCAATCAAATTGTCTACTCTGTTAAATAGAAGATAAAATTAATATTCACCATTTGTTGAGGAGTAAACTTAGCCATTCGGCGGTTTCGTCCTTATATAGAGCCCTTCTTCGACGCAGCCTACCCAGTTCCTGTTGGATCGCTGACTGAAGAAGCCTCGATATTCTTGTTTTAAATATCGTCCCTGCTAATGCCAGAACCAGCACCAGCCATGCCAATGATAATCCCGCCGCGCCTATTATCCACGCGATTGCAAGGGCCACGCTAAGGTACAGTGCACCGCGAATGGCTTCAGCCTCCCTCTGGAAAGAAAGCATAACCGTTCTGTCAGTAATACCACAATAACCGCTTAACTAACGATTAGCCAAAATTTACACCGAATTTTTATAGATTTATTTATGCAAAGGAATAATTATCTTTCGTAGGTACAGTTTCATTCTTTTAACCCTCAGACTGTTTGGATCAACGTGACCCAAAGTCAGTGTTTAATTCTTAACCTCTTGCTCTATGATTTTCATGACGTTTGCAGACTCCAGAATTATATTGTTGTCGATAGTTTCCCAGAAACGAAAGGAATTCTGTACTTATCGCAACTGTACTTTTACTGTGAAAGTAAAATATTACTGCCAGCAACATGGAATTTCACTTCAACTCAGAGAAAACCGAATAATATTCTTCTTTGTTGAATCGATTTTGAAATCGTCAACACGATTGTGATTCGATGGTATAAGGCAAGGAGTTAATTACGTTTTTTATTGTAGAAATATGTAAACTGATTTGACAACCAATACATGGGCGTAGCCAGGTTATCAGTCAAGGGGGTGCAAAAATATTAACACATCGACTGCTACAGTGAAAAAGGCTGTACGTAGCCAGACAGTCTTTATTTTGTTTTTAAAGTTATAAATCGTTGAAAATGTATGCGTTTTTTTAATAGAGGTTGTTGGTGGTGTTTCAAATTATATATCGTCACATTTTTTTCTAGTAGGGTGGGGCAAAAGCTACTTTTTTCCGGTAAGTGCATCCCCCCCCCTGACTACGCTCATGAACCAATAACTTATACCAATTGTGATCCAGCGATAGTCAAATGTATTTCCTTAATTTTATTTTATTTCAAAGCCAAATTCAATTCGAGGAATAATAACGCGATAATTTATTAAACACCGCACGAGGATTAAATCGTAAACAACATGGAAATAGCCATTGTATGCATACTGTATGCGTTTTTTTCCCTGTATGCAATATAGTGAGAAACAAAATGATTTTCTTGTTATGGTGTTACTAATTAAAAATTAATAATTATTAATATTATTAATTATTAAGTTCTGTTATAGAATACAAAGGCATTTCGTGTATCAAAAGAACGAAAAGTAATTCTTTACGTTATCATGTTCTGTCGAGGAACTTGCTGCATATATTCTTACAGGAGTATGATTTATAAAATGGTATGTAAAATTAGAATGTTCGTGACATGTTTTTTTACAGTATATTTGAACAGCTATGTAGAGTGTCACTGTTGTCCAAGATTTATTATCCTCACACGGTTTTAGGGTGATCTTTATGTAAACTACCGGTCACAGAAAAGTGAACATTTTGAATGTATTAGTGAAATTATATCTGCTTTATTTTGTTAAACTTAACACCGAAGAAAATAATACAAGATTATAATCTACAGAATGGTAGCCGCCTTACAATTCAAAGGTTCTTTTTAAGGGGAAGGTATTTTATTTTTTTAAATCCCCATAAGCTGTCGTGTTCTTTGAATATAAACGAAATTTTGCGTGACATCCAAACATATCAATAACATTCAAGTGGTTTTTTTGTCCTTAGTATTTACGCTCTTCAACATTTTTTCGTATCTTTAACAATATTCTTTAAATGAGAGTTTTGTATTTTTATTGTTTCTTTGAACCTGATACCGAACAGCGACAATTTCCGTGGTTCCTTATAAAAAATGTATCGATACCAGCGAGCGAGAATGAAATAAAGGGAAAGTCGCAGAGAATAAAAATCATTACTTCTTCGTCTCGCTGGTATATAGGGCATGATCCTTGCACGCTCACGCAATATCGCGTGCACGAATATATAAGAAGTTTCTCGGGCGTCATGGAAAACGTCATTAACCCCTGGAATGATCAGATTATGTCGCATAAATAAACGGAATTGATTTTAATCAAAAAGTTTCACGTGATATAACGCGATTTTACAGAAAACACCGCTCGGATCACTGGCTTGCGAGCTGATATTTCGTTTTAATGCTTCTTCCAAGTGAAACCAACGAAGAATAAAAAGTTACGCTCGTGTGTTCCGAGCAAACAGAACGATTAGCGTTTGTGGTGCAGAAAAAAAAGCCAGTGTACACATCCGTGTAAAGGTAATTCGTACACGTGTCGCTGGTAATAGCAAAAAGTGTAACTTTGCATACATATGGGAGGAAAGTTGTAATTAAGTCGATGGGAAAGGAGAAAGTTACGTCGTGAAAACCGGTCATATAGTCTTTTCAATATATTTCGTTTTCTCTCAAATTGAATACACACGTGTGTCGGAATAATCAGAAATTAAATGATACAATTTAGGTTCAGTGTTCCTTCAGAAATCGTCAGATATTTTCTGTTCATATTTCACCGAACTGTGTATACTAAATCACAATAGATCACCTAATTGCGAAACGTTACCGTATGGCCTTACGTATTTAATATACGAAAGTACAGTGATTCCTCGATGAATACGACACGAACGACGGTGTTATTCTCACCACTGGGGGATTCCCCCTCAAAAACCAATCAAAACAGAGTAAGCAGAAGCTAAGCATAGGCTCGGTTTCGTGCAAGAAACAAATTTATGAGAGGCTGAAAACTTTTCCGCCTTGCTACGAATGCTCCGAAGCGGACTCGAATTCGTCGCACTCATCGAGACATTACTGTATCTGGGTTACAGAAAGTACATGTCTACATTATTATTGGATGCCCAATGAATAATGAGTTTCTGTCAGATTCAGCATTTATTCGTAAAGAAACCAAAAATCGATGCTGATTTAATAACAATCGTCCTTGTCCTTCACCATCTTCCGCTATCTTGAAAAATATTTTTATTTCAACTGCAATTAAATTATACCATCATATTTTTGAAAACAGAAAAATTGTGAATTACTCACTAGTACTCTTCATACAAATAAATTGTTTATGACAATTATGACTCGAATATCGTTCTATTTTTCTCTCGACGTGTCCTTCGATTCGACACGCGATTTAAGGATACAAAAGAAATGGCCGCGACGTCTCTTGTCTCATATCGTGCACTTACGCAACGGCAACACTACCTGCCCTGTCAAGATCGTAACATTTCATTAATTAGAAAGTTGTTCAATGCTAAGGGACCGAGTTCCATCTGAAAAACAACTGGTCACGTCGGGACGGAGGGTTTGAATCGATGATACTTTTAATCGTTCGCAACATAAAGTGAAATGCTTCCTCCGATGTCGTTTTGACAATCGTTCGCTCGTGTAAACAGAATTATAATAATAAAATAACAAATAAAATATAAAAAAACTAATAAAATTATTATCTATCGATATCTCTATGTAATTAAATCGTTTTAATACACTGTAGATCACAAGTAATTTCCATGTCGTTTTAAAATTATTTAAAGTTTTAAATTATTAAATTTTAAGTTTTAAAATTGTATATCGTAAATCGAGAAAGTTTGATTCAAAGAATACAGTACAAGATTCAGGTTAAAGACGAACATGAATGTGAAATCGTCATTGTTTTATATACAGTGGGTAAAAAAAAGTATTCGTACACCCTTTAAAACAGAACAACTCTCTCAAAATTGGACCAAGTGACTTGAGTTTCTTTGTGAACTTAGAAGTATTAGTGTACTAAATGATGTGTTAACAAAATGTTGAAAAGGTTGCAATTGGTCGGAATCGCGAAGAAAATAGTAAAGCTCGCTTTTTGCGACTTGTTTATTTGAGATTGTAATGAAAATTTAACGAATACATTGCTTAGAATTATGTTAGTTATATACATGCTGAAAATTTCATCGAAATCGGTTAACGTTGTTATGAGATACAAAAGGTTAAAAATGTTGAAAATCGCAGTTTTTCGCGACTTTTGACCTACAACTGTAGTAAGGTAAATGTGCCAGTGGTTGGACACGTCCTGGTGATTGGAAGTTAACGTGAATTTTTGTTAATATTACATTTTTTTTAAATAATAGCGAACTTTAAGATAGAAAATAATTATCCTTAGTTATTTCTCATCATAAATGATATAAAAATGTTCGTAAAAGCGCGATGTATTGTATAAAAAAAATATTATCATTTAACAATCATGAACTTGAGGCGACATGAATGCCTTCATAAATGTTTCGTTAACATTGTGAGCGCATTTCTTAAGGTTCTAAATAATAAATAATTCGTGTGTTTCTATTAAGTAAAGGTTTCTTGTATTTATTAAAGTCTCCAGAATTCATACCAACTTTGTTTTAATAAAACTGTTTTCTTTTAATGTCGAAATTACCGAGTTTATTTACTGGTACATGAGAATGCTAATTGCGTAGTCGTTGGACGCTTGTCCAGTCACTCGAGCAGCATCGAGCAGAGAGTTAGTGTATGACTTAACAAATTATTTTCGTAATAACAATATTTGACTTTGGAAGCTCGTAGTTTTTATTACATATTTCATACATAAATATAAATATCATATTATTTTGATACAGCCATAACCTAAGCGATTCACGTACTGAATATTCATTAAAAATCACCTATCTATTTCATTTCTTTTGTTTCAGGAATTTTTTATAACAACAAGACTTTCAAGAAGAAGAATTAAAGAAGCGTATAAAAAAAGAAATACTAGAAGAGAAAAAAAAACAAAAATTTGCTGCCAGGAAAGTTGCAAAAAGTGTTAAAAAAAATTAAAAACAAAAAAAGGAATAATTTACGTTTTGTTAATTTTCTTTAACATTGTTTGATTTTAATTTTGTTTTATTTAAAATATATATTAAACGCACTATGTTTGTTTTTAATGCACAATTTCCTAAATGTATACAGATAAATGTTTAAAAGCTTTTACCAAATATATAACATACATAATAATAGAATGCAATTTTCCCTTAGTGTTATTTATTTATTAATTTATAATGTATACCTTTATAGATTTAGTTCACAATTTTTATTATTTTATTTATTTATAAATTTGTTACATTTTTATTTGAATTTTTACAACATAAAAGAACAGTATGTCATGTTTTACTATTAAAAATTAGCTATGAATAATTTATCGAATGTTATGTCCAAACACTGGGACAGCTGAATTTAATCACTAGGACATGCCGTAAATTCAGTCCAATCACTCGGCCAAATGAACGCTTTTAGATATTCATAAATTTTAATACTTTTTTTGCATGTAAATGCTTTCTTATAACGACTTGTCTGGAAGAAGAAATTCTGTTCTATCGATTGAATGTACTTTTTTGCCAATCTATATTATTTGAATATATAAAAACTCTTCGT